GGCCCCGGTGATTTGTATTCATCAAGGTCGGATAGGTGTTCTCTTACCATTTTCTTGCTTATTTTAATTTTTGTTTCTAATTTGTCTTTTGCAATGTTTTTTTTTGGTATGTTGGGCTATAGTTTCTTTTTGTGTGAAGACTGATGCAAAGTATAAGTTAAGCAGCTCTGCTTTCTCCCTGTTGCCTGTTATTTCCTTGCCATCTTCTCTCTTTAGTGGACCTACAGTTTCCTTGACTTTTTTCTTATTAAGTTGAAAGAAACTTTTTTTTAATTATCTTTGACTTTTGTTGCAAATCTTTGTTTGTTCTGAGCCTTTGCTTTCCCGTCTTCATCTTTGCATGTTCTGGCTGTCTGCGGATAATCGGCCTTAGTTATATGCTTTCCATTTTTTGTATTTGTCCTTTTTGTCTTTCAGTTCATCAGAGAGATCTTTGTGCAGCCATGCTGGTTTCTTCTTGAATTTCTGGTTTTTCTTTTTCAGTAGTATTGTGGTAGTCTGGGCTTTTATGATCAGATTTTTCAGAGTTTCCCATGCTTCTTGGATTGTTTTACCTTTTAGGATTTTCATCCATGGGATCTTTCCTAGGTTCTCTCTGTAGAGCAAGACCTGTGAAAACAAGGATACTAGGTGCTAAATGCAGCCCTGGGAGTAAACATGAGGAATCCATTTTGTATTTTTCTATACTTCTGTTTTTATTTGAACCATCAACTTAAATGTTTACTGTTTTAGCCAAGCTTGAAGTATAGGATACTTAGTGTCATACTAGTTGTTCATTTCTTCTTCCAGAATTGGTTTTATTGTGTTTTTATTGACCTGGGATTATATGCTTTGTCTTGGAGATTTTCTGTATTTCATTTATTAAGATGCCCATCCAGATTGAATTGTGCAAGTGGTGCTTCCTCATCACAGCTTGTTCTGACAGTTCTTCAAATGGAGAATTAGCCTCTGTGGTTACATTACTAAAATCACTTATGTAAACTACTTAAATCTCTTGTCACAGAATTGTTTTAAAGTTTCTTTGCATATATATTCAAGCATTTCATTTACAAGTGTCATTCCCACAGAAAAGCAAAGTAAAAAGTGAAATGTTTCTTTTGTAATTCTTAGTTTTAGTTTTGGTTTTATGATTTGAGATTTCATTACTATTGTGAGCCACCCAGAGTTGTATTTTAAGCTGGGTGGCCAGACGGATCTTTGAAATAAAGAAATGAGAGAATTAAATCAAACTCTGTTGCACCTGTTGCCAAAATGGGTGGGTGGGTAGGGATTGTTAATTAATTACATTATCTGCTTTCTTGTAATTGAGGACAGAATATTATGTTGCTGGCAGTGGGTCATTGTCACTAATATTTTATTCATCTGATGACTTAAAAATACCAGCTAGGCAGGTAAGCAAATGAGAAACTAGAATCTTTTCAGCCATCCCCTGCTGCAACAAAGGTGTTTATTCCATTGACAAGCAATTGAGTACATCTCCATGGCCTTTTTGTAATTGTGGCATTAACAGAGGATCAACTAGCACATAATGGAGGCATAAAACATGCTTGAAAAGGAGGGGGCCCTCATGGTGAGGGAATATTTATGGTAGTCTGACCTAAGACTTGGCTGCTTCTTCCCAACAGGTGCATGATTTTAGTCCCATTTTGGACAACTAGCATTTTCAGCTTTCAGTGCCTCTCCTTACAGCATGCCTTTGCAAATATTATCTGAGAAAGTCAATTAGTAGTGGGGTAGAGGCACAAAATAGGCAGAGTAGTGACTCTGGACCACCTATTTCTACTTTGCATTGCTGATTTCATTAAATCTGGTCCCTGTGAACCAGATACAATTGAATAGAAGGGGGGGGGGAGCTATATCATTAGGTGAAAATCACCACCATTTTCCATTTGGGCAACGTAACTATCTTTTTCTGTCTCTTTCAAACTGCTTTGGTGGGTTCCTCCAACTGTCCAGAGGAAATTTCAGTTGGGCAATAGGCTCTATTTCTTAAGAGCTGTCATTTAAATAACAACAGGCCACACATATTTCTTTGTTATTGAAGTAAATATATTTATGTTGTGACTTTCTCCTTCAGAGTGTGAAGTGGTTTTTTTCCCCCCAAACAGGAGTTGATATATGGATTGCCAGAATTTGTTCCATTTCTCCATGCAGACAATTATTCCTTAAATAAATTCAGAATGTTTCTTTTCTAAGGATTTTGTTGATAATTTTTGTTGTTTACTGTGACACACACATATGTTAATCAGGAATAATACCACAACCATATTCCTTAATGGTTAGGACAGGCCTTTCTTTCAACCATAATCCAATTTAAAGTTCCTAATCTGCTAAAAACAATCATAAAAAAGATAATAAGGATTTCAGAATCCCCCATCAATAATTAACTGGATAGAAAGTTGAGAAGACACACATCACCTATTCACAGCTGCAAAAGCAGTAACCGAGATAAAATGACAATATATAATCTGGTGAAAAAAGCAAGGTTCTACATTTAGGCAAGAAAAACCAAATGCACAAGTACAGCATAGGTGGCACCATGCTCAATAGTAGTAACTGTGAGAGGGACCTCGGAGTCCTAGTAGACAATCACTTAAATATGAGCCAGCAGTGCGCTGCAGCTGCCAAAAAGGCCAACACAGTGCTAGGCTGCATTAACAGAGGGATAGAATCAAGATCACGTGAAGTATTAATACCACTCTTCAATGCCTTGGTAAGGCCACACTTGGAATACTGCATCCAGTTTTGGTCACCACGCTGTAAAAAAGATGTTGAGACTCTAGAAAGAGTACAGAGAAGAGCAACAAAGATGATTAGGGGACTGGAGGCTAAAACATATAAGGAACGGTTGCTAGAATTGGTATGTCTAGTTTAACGAAGAGAAGGACAAGGGGGGACATGATAGCAGTGTTCCAATATCTCAGGGGCTGCCATAAAGAAGAGGGAATTAAGCTATTTTCCAAAGCACCTGAAGGCAGGACAAGAAGCAACGGGTGGAAACTAATCAAGGAGAGAAGCAACTAGAACTAAGGAGAAACTTCCTGACAGTGAGAACAATTAATCAGTGGAACAGCCTGCCTCCAGAAGCAGTAAATGCTCCAACACTGGAAGTTTTTAAGAAGAGACTGGACAGCCACTTGTCCGAAATGGTGTAGGGTTTCCTGCCCGAGCAGGGGGTTGGACTAGATGACCTCCAAGGTCCCTTCCAACTTTACTACTACTAATCTGCCCACTTAAGATATAATCATTTTATATTTACATTCCTTTTCTCAAACTACAGTTTGTAAATTCTATGGTGATAAATATAGAAGCTATCTGATATACTTCCATTTCCCATTTTTAAAATGATCTCTCGTGCTTGTCTGAAAGTAAAGCAAAAGTAGATCTTTACATGGATTTAGTTTATAGGTTTCTTTTAGCTGGTTTGACTTCTGTCATATTTCTGCAATAAACTGTTTTGGAATTTACATCTGTTTCGTTTAACTGCACACAGAAGTCATGTGGTGGTATGAATGCTTAACAGTTCTGTAAATTTCTAATCAGCCCAACTCTGGATAGATGAGTGTGTTTCAAAAATCCTCCCCCAGGGCTTCATGAAAACAGCACCCATCAATTGTCAGCCTGATTTAATCCAGTATTAATTACTCAGAGGGTGCCAAATTTTCCAAGATCTCAAGCAGGATTCTTTGATGTATTCTGTTAGAAAAGTGGATTTATTTCAGAGTAAGCATTCATTGATATCAGTGTGATTGACATATTGACATATCAGTGTGATTGACATATGTGTTGCTACTAAGTTTTTTGATCCAGGGAAATGGATGAAGATATATAGAAAATCATTTTAAAGTTCAAAAGAAAAATAGAAATGGGAAGAATAAAATACTGATTTAACTCTGTTTCCCTGGGCAAATCAAAAGAAAGAGGAGGCAGATAGACCTTCAGAAGTGAGTGTTGAGAAACACTGGTTATTATACTCCATCTATGAAATAATGGGTATATGCTTTCTCTTCTCACAACTGCTATTGCTTTTTTATGTATGTATGTATGTATGTATGTATTTGTATAGATTTGTATATGAAAGTGAGTCTGGACATCACACTTAATTAAAAACAATAAATACATAAAAACAATCACACTTTAAAACAACTATTGAAAAGCCACACAGAATAGGAGAGTTCTGGAAGTTTAGCAGAGCATACAAACTCCTCAGTGAAAAAGGTGAAGAGAGATTGTGGGTCCCAGGGCTGTGCTTGGTGGATTTGTTTGTTCTGGTTATAATCCTTCTATTTCCCATTTTGGAAGTTCTTGGCTTTCATTGTAAAAAACAAATAAGCCTCATGCTATGCATCATATTGTGATGTACTTTATAAGTTAAGCAGTTAAGTATTCATTCATTCTTTAGGCTAAAATAGATGTCCCTTACCAGACACAATATTTGTTTATTTATTTGTTGTAGCTGTTGTAACAGGGTGACATCAGATGTGATTGGAAAATAGCTGTCTCATCTCAAAGTCACCTTCCAGAAAATGTCCCCTTTCAGTGGAAAAACACAGCTTTCGTTGGGGAGGAAAATATTAGTGAATAGTTGAAGATTTTGAACAAAGAGTTTGTCCGGTATTCAGGTCATATTTTCACAGATAGCAGAATTGTAACAGACAAAATGAGGCCATGTGATAGTTGAAGAGTTTTCCATTTTTGCTGTTTTGAAAAATAGTAACTTAAAATAGAGGAATGTAGTCTTCAGCCCATTTTCTTTTTCAGCATGGTAATAGCCAAGTAGCTGCTCATGTGAATTGAGGCACTGCTTATTAATACTTTGCAGTTATAGCAAAGCAAATAAAAGAAATCATAAACAACTAGTGCAAACTTGCTCTTTATTAATTTACAGTACAGCCTTTGTCTTTGGGTCAGAAGAACAGTAGGCAAATACTGCTTTTTTTAACAGCTTGCTGAGAACCAAACTTTTTCCAGATATAAATTAGTCTCTTTTGCCATTCCAGGTCCTTTGGGCATTTCCAAGCAAAAGAATATGGTGTTGCATTGGGGACATCAGGAAGGTCAGCTGCAAGTGACAATTTGAGACAAGGGCTGTGTTTGACTAGGCTTTCTGTCACCAAGGTATCCACCAAGCACTATGCAATAACATCACTGAGTGTCTTGCAAATGTTCTCAGATCACATGTTAATTCCTGAGTTGTGCTATAGTCCTTGCTGGGTTCCTTATATGAGATGCACTGAAGTCTGACAGATGGATGAATTGAGAGCATATGGAAATGTTTAAATGATATATAGTTTCACAGATATATGAAACCAATGCAAAATATGTCTTAAAATACATATCTGTATTTGGTATACATGGTAATTGCTACTTGCTTTACTGCAGAACAGATTTTCTCATTATAGATAGGGGTTTTTTCCCTTTGGTAAAGTGGTAAAGAGATCCTGGAAGCCCCTCACTGACCTATTTTCTACCAATACTAGTAACAAGGGACATAAGAAGAGGAGAATTCTGTGAGAATTCTAATGGTTTCATGAATCATACCTTAATTTTTGGTTCAAAACTAGAAGATAGAAAACAATTAGAGCTTCACTGTAAAATTGCCATTAGGAAGGTAGCTGACAGAAAAGAGTTAAGTTTCCCTCTTCTAGTTATAAGGATTGCTTAAGGCTTCTTCCTGTCTGTGAAAGAATTTTTTGTATCATCTTATACTTATCCTTTAGAGAAAGTAGGGCCCTTCCATCAGGTGTGTCTTGGAAGCTGAGAATAATAGAGAGAGAAGAAGACCAGTGATCCTCCACCATTCTAAAGGACCTCCTGGTAGCTGTGAGCCCACTGATGTAGCAGGCTGCATTTGCGAGAGCCAAATGGCTTAGCTGGAAGATTGACCAAGGAAACTGGGAAAGGAACATCATAAGAATAGCCTAACCAGTTCTCCAAAAGCAACAGAACATGGGTAATGAGCAATAATTCACATAATATGGCAAGAGAGAAAGCCACACCCAATTCAATGGACTAGACAAGTGTTGCAACCCAATGGCCACCTGAAAGGATTTCCCTTCCCTCTAGGTCAGTAAGAAGGAATGTCAGTAGAGAGTGCTTGATTGACCAGCTAGAAATCTAAACCCTTGTATAGGGCAGTTCTCCAGCAACCAGCTCCAGGATGGAGGCTCATTCTCACAGAGGAAGCAAATCCACCAGATCTCCCTTTATTCCACAAACAGGGTGGCAGGAGGAAAGCCAGATGCTAATGGATATGGAGACAAGCTAAAATTGTGAGAGGGGTCAATTTAGTTTTTTGATGCACACTATGGCAATTCAGAAGCTAGACAGAGGATAAGATTTGCTTGGGAGTTTGATTGCTATGCAAGGCATCCTACCTTTCCTCCAGTTGGTTTTTTCAAACCAGAATTATACACAATCTTTGCCTTATAGGGAGTCAGTTTCTTTCACTTCCAGAAGTCCACTCAGAGACATTCTGTTCCTCATACCCTTGTTCACAGGAAAAGAGAGAAAGCCTGAAAGAAGGCTAAAATTGCATGTTTAAAATTTCAGTTCTCAGATACTCCACATCATGAGGAACATCCATCCCTAGTTTTTAAAATAAGTGATTCTGAATGATAGTGAAGATGCTCACAGACCCCTGTGACTTAAAGCGAGCCATGAAGTGTCTACTCTGGGCCATTCTATTGTAATTCATATTGCCAACTAGCAAATTGGAGCAGATGACAGTAAAACTGGATTTGAATGTCATATCAGACCAATTTTGAATGAGTACCACAGATTGGTGCTATGAGCTTTCTATTCAAAAACAAGCATTCTCTTGCATTACCAACACATCCACAATATATGCTTTACATGATTATCAGGATGATTTATTGTACAGTGGTACCTTGGTACTCAACTGCTTTGAAACTCATCGAATTTGGTACTCAACGCATTTTGACATGAAAATTTTGTCCCAGAATTCATTATTTGGTACTCAATGCATAAACTGGAACTTGTCAGTGTTGGCTGCCTTGTGATTCACTCAGTGGTGGGATTTAGCCCATTCGCACCAGTTCGGTAGAACCGGTAGCTAAATTTTGCTGCATTCAGAGAACCAGCTGGCTTCCAGAAGTCCAGCTGGAAGTGTGTGGATGCCACTTCTGGAAGTCTGTTATAGGTCTTGGAGGCCCAGGCCTGCATCAAATAAGAGAACCGGTTGTTCAGGTATTTTAATTCCACCACTGGACTTACTACACTATTTGTTTAGTACTCATCGTTTTTAGTACTCATCATGCCTCCTGGAACCAATTAACGATGTGTATCACTGTATCATGAGAACATTTAAAAGTTATCATGAGAATACTTAAAAACAACACTGTTTACAAAATTAGATGATCTGATGCTTAAGATATTTTCTGTGCAGTATCTGTAAAAAAAATCTAATGTGGTTGTTTTTTGCTCTCATTCTGAGTCTCCCTTTTGTTATCTAGGAGTAATATTATTGAACGGATAAGGAAATTTAAAAAGAGAAAATCCAGGCAGAAAAGCCTCACATTTATTTATTTATTTACAGTTGAACCATTTGGTGATAGAACAATTGATTAGTGTTGGAGTTCCAGCAGTGGGGATTTCGGTAAGGGACCTATAATTTTTGTTTGTCTTTTTTCAGAAGAAGGTAGGTTTTGATGATTTGCCTAGATTTGATAATGTTAATTTCATTACTGTTTGAGTATGAAGGGAAAGTATCTTTTGAAAAAAAAATATTTACCCTGTAAAAACCTCAATTTTCTGCCCTAGATAAATTACTGACGTTTATTGGTATTGGAAATTCATAATATATTCACCAATTATGATAGTTTTTGTTGTTTTTGTTGCTCCCTTTGAGCCAGTGTTGACTGGATGACTGCCTGAATAACCTGTGCAATTTTCTTGGCAAGGTGTGGTTTGTCATTGCTTCCTTCCTAGAGCTGAGAGAAAATGACTGGCCAAAGTCACCAAGCTGGCTCTGTGTGTAAGGCAGAACTAGAACTCAGCCACCAGGTTTCTAGCCTGGTACCTTAACCATTTCACCAAACTGGCTCTTCATGGTACTTACCTGCATTTTAATTTGAGAAACAGATTTAAATATTTATATATAATACCAGCATATCCAATAGTTGCTTTTCAGGTTGCCACTATATCTGGTAAATTTACAGTTTAAGAAACAATGCTATATCCATTTGAAGAGGCAAAGAGATTTTCTGAATATAGAACATATCAGAACCAGAATAACTTAAAAATGCCTTAATTTTCAGGCTCTTATCATTCTTATTTCAGAAATAGTAATTCTTTCTAATTAATCACAGTAACAAAATTGTATGTTTGCTATCTCTTTCCAGGTTTTTGGAATCTGGAAAACAACAAACAAGAATATCACTGAGGCTGGTATTGATGCTGTGAAGGACATTTTAGATGCAGGTTATATCCCTGTATTACATGGAGATTGTGCCCTGGACTTGGAACAACACTGTTGTATCTTATCTGGAGATACAATTATTGAGGTGAGATATGGAAATGACTTGACTTATAAATTCACCAGGATACTTACCAGAAATTCAAGGTCTTCTTTTTAAATTTATGTGCTGCAGATACATCTGTCTATTTCAGACTGGGTTTTTTTTTTTCCTTTTTAATGAATATTACTAAGTTGAGGTTGTTTGCAGTTGAAAGTTAATTGAAATTGAGGTTGATTAAAAAATAGAAATACAGATATGGTCGTATTCTTAATTGGGTGAAATATATACCAATATAAGAAGTAGCCTGAAAAAATGCAGAGCTGTGTACAAATTAAGACAAACTCTTAATGCCATCAGCCATTGCAAATAACAGCAATCCTGTTTTGTTTGAAAAAAGTAAGTTTTCTTCCATGTTACATCTGGATGAGAAAATGTATAGCAATTTTATGTGAAAGATAAATAGTGTGTAGCCCTGGGTACAAAAAATTCATCCTATGGTTCTGAAGCAGACAAGTCTTCCTCAAATTATTCATCACATTTCCAGGACAATGTGACTTCTCTGGCAAGTCATGTTAATAGATACTGGTTTGTAAAAGATTCTAAGAAGAGTTAGATAGCTGATGCTAGTCAGTCACAAGAGAATTTGAAAGCTAGTGGACCAATTATTTGACTTAGTATAAAGCAGTTTTTGTTTATTTTTTTCTATTGCAGGTTTTAGCTAAGACATTCTGTCCTAGGCGAGTTGTATTTCTCACAGATGTGAATGGAATTTACAGTTGTCCACCTGATACCTCAGGTACAGATCAAGTAGGCTGAAGTTGTCAATACTAGAGGAATAATAGATAATATCAAAATTGCCACGAAAATTGGCATATAAATTTTGAAGTATTTATATGATATGATATAACTTGAGGTTTGCTGATGCTTTTTCTAAGAGATAAATTTGAAAAGAATTGTAAGATTACATTATTACATTACTGTTTTGAAAAAATAAAAATATTAAACCACATGTGCAACAGGTCGTATTTCTGCTGCTACCATATATACAGGTATACATTATAAAAAATCTTGCTTATTCAGGGGTAGTAAACAAAATGTGTTGATATTCCTTATAGTCCAGGATTTGGTAGAGATGAAATAGGGATGCACAGCTATTCAAATCCAGAATGGAAAGGGCTTGAGGTTTGGCGTGGGAGTGTTTACTGTACTGTTCACTACAGTTGATTTTGGTCAAAAGGCTAAGAAGTGATTTATGGCCAAAGGCTGAAATCAGTAAAGTAAATATGTAATTATCTGTCAGCAGTTCCCTAAAAAAAAAAAGCATATTTTTTCTTGGGCTTGCACTGTAGTCACATAAAATGCATCATCCAATTAAGGAGATAGTAACAGATAGTGATAGGAGTCATGGTGGCTCATGTGGTCAGACACTAGGTTGGAGGTTAGCAAGCCCACATTGGAGACCCAAGTGCTGCTGCATGGTGGGTTGAACTGAAATTCACTCCTGTTTCTTGATGGGGTCATGAAAGGAGCACCCGCAAGTGTCCCCAGGTCAGTGGTGATATCACCGGCTAATCCTTTCAACCCGGAGGCCCCTTAAACTGCCTCCAACACAAACGGGACAGGGGGTCAGGACAGCAAAACATGGTTGCACTATTTTGTTACATTTAACACAATGTTAAGCATTATGCCAACCTTGTTTCTCTTTGAAACCTATCAGTGGAAATGATTCCTTGTAAACTTTCAAAATTGAATTAGTTGTTTCGATACCAGGATGCTCTTATATTTTAGGATTAGCTTTTGTATGTTGCAATCCAAATCCTTTGTTTGTTTTGGAACAGGTGCTAGGCTGCTAGATTCCATTGTCATTGGTCCTGAAAGAACTATGGAGCCAACTGTGCTCACAACTGCACTACCACATGATACTACTGGAGGAGTGTCCTTGAAACTACAAACTGCCATAAATATAGTTTCTTGGAGTCATGGGTCCATTCCTGTTCTGATCTGCAAACTGGACAGTGACGCCGCTGTAAAGGCTTGCTTGACTGGGGAATTGGAAGAAGGTGAAGGCACAAAACTTTCTTTTGTGGATACGTGAAGTTTTTTGTAAAGGAACCGTGAATCGTGTGCAGAAGAATTTCTGGGAGATTCATAAATTTTGTTTCATATATCTGTGTATTTGGTTTCTGTTATTTTATGCACCTCACAAATTCAAATCGTAACATTTTAACACCTTGCAAAACAATGACATTTTTAATATCAGCATACACGCAATATATTCACTTCACATTTATAGCTTCCTTATTCTCATAAGGTCATCTTGGTGGTTGATTATTGTTTTCATTACTAGAGTGCCTGGAAAAAAATCACAGGAAAAAACCCTGTATTTTCTTCAACTAAGAAGAAATTCTACATTAATTTTTCTATGAAAGAAGTAAGTCTGTCATATCATTTTTCTTCAACGTCCTTTTTAGATATTTTAACTGACAGTAAGCTTGTGATACCAAAAACTCCAGTACCTTTATGTATTTATTCCAAAATAGGACAAATAAAGAAGGGCCTTTGTCAAGCTTGAGTGGACCCACATTACAGCAAGATTGATAGCTGTTTCCTTCTTCTGCCTATTTCTCTGTCCAGTGGGATGATTAAGCATAAAAGTTTCAAGTGCCTTAGCAGGTAGCAACACCTAGTTAATCTTATCTCATTTGGGAAACTGAGTGGCTTGGTTATAGAAGTAATTTAACATTGCCTCCTCCTAGAATGCTTCTAGAAGGAGGCAATATTTAATTACTTCTAACACATAGATGCAGTTGTCAGAAATAAAGCTCAACTAGAGAATATCTTTTCTTCCAAATTAAGATTGATTTTATATATGCATTCAAGTAGTTTGCTTGTCGACAGGAAGGGTATTTTTCCATTATCTCTTTCTGGGAAGCTTTTCCCCAATTCCCCAGGATATTCTAAATCTCTTGAGTCCTATTAAGATTTCTTGTTCAAGCATTCAACATGGCTTAGCTGAGGAAATGAACCAAGCGTGGCCACATGCTGTCACCTTTTCAAACAACATGGAACATTTCTGAGATCATTCTAAACCTGTGTTGTAGGGAAAAAATAGTTACATTGCTAAACTATGAGTATTAATGTTTATTTGTGTGCTGTATGATTAAAAAGTAGGAATACAGATCCAGGTGAACGTCAACAACAGATTTTTAGGACAGTACTCAGTGTAGTTCATGTAGCATGAGCAAAACTATGTCTTGAAATCAATACACTTTATTGTTAATGTATATCAATTTATTATATGCAGGCAGAGTGTATGCTATGTAGACAGTGACCTTAACTGAGAAGGAAGATCTGTTACCAAAGCAATGAACAGATAAACATGGCCTAAGACCAATCAAAGGCAGAAGTTTATGAAAGTGTCTCAGACAGGCACCCCATGATTCTTCAGAAGGTAAAAAAGGAACGAGGTAGGTATTTTCCATCACAACTTAACAACTACAATAGGGACCAAAAGTTCCAGTGCTAAGGTTAAGTGAGTTGCATCTGATTTTAGAACTTCCTTGCTGCAGTTGCTAAGCGAATTACTGCAGTAGTGAAGTGAATCACGTGATTGTTAAGTATATTCAGCTTTTTCCATTGACTTTGCTTGTCAGAATCCAGCTGGGATGGTGGCAGATGGCGATGACATGATCCTGGAATGCTGCAACAATTGTAAAAATATGCCAGTTTCCAAGTGCCTGGATTTTGATCACATGACGGGCTGCAGCAATGGTTGTAAATCACTTCTTACAATGTCTTTGTAACATCAAATGATTGCCAAACAAATGGTTGTAAATTGAGGACTACCTTTAGCTACAAATGAAGGCTAGTGCCCTGGTTCCTGCCCTGTGTTTGTGTGCACCTGCTGAAATGCAGAAAAAGACCCAGAAGCCAGTGGAGCATCTAGTGGTGACCAATGTTCTTCTGTGAGCAGTCAAATTACATCCTTCTCAAGTCAAAATGGAATGTGCAAACTTGTAAAACTTGCATTCTATAAATTTCCTTTACAGTCTCATTTAAAATAAGTCCTTTAAGATCGCAATTATTAAAAGGTTAAGGAAATATAAATATTGTTTTGTTCATAACTTACAAATGTGCCTTCTGATCTTCGGAAATTTGATGTTGCTGATACACTGTGACTGCCCCGGAGATTTGAAAAGTGTTCTTTCTGTGCAAGCAGCAGCGTGCTTTACAAGGAAATATTTTAAAAGTTTTCTAAGGGAAAAGGTCTGGAAAAAAAGCAATTTTTTTACAAGAAAAAACAGATTGGCAGAAAATTAACCTGCCAGGTGGATTTATGAAATGCCAAAAATTAAGTTCACTTTGAATTTCTTCAGCATTTTTTTTGACATGGCTTGAAATAATAATGCCTAGAGGACAGATGCTGCTTCCAGCAAAAAAAAAAAAAAAAAAACAACTTAGAGGCAATGACTCTGACAAGTTTTGACTTATGAAAGAGAGAGGGCAAGAGAGAGACAGAGAGAGGAGAGAGAGATTAGGAGGGGAGTCAAAAGGCTTCTACTGATTTAGTTCTTAGATCTTCATTTGCACAGCCTTGGCTGCAACAGAGACGCTACTGAGTAGCAGCAAAGAGGGAGATGCTTGTAAGGCAAAGGGAAGAGTAACCAGGTGAGTCACAAATCTTAGAAGCTCCTGCCTCCTTCAGATTGCTCTTGCATGGCAGAGGAAATTATTTAGTTGATTATTTAAATGTATTAATTAAATAAATTATGTTACTTTTCAATAGCAGAAAAATGCATGGATTTCAAAACTGCCCATTCAAAGCTTCTGAATTTGCAGGGGGCATATAAGTTGAAAAGGATAGGGGAAGAGTCACTTTCTGGTTAGTACTGGTATTATCTGAACTCTATATGAATTCACACTGATGACCCTTTATCCTTCCTATGCAAATTTAAAAGTGATTTGGGGAAGGGGGAGTACAAAACAGTAAAATAGCTGCACATAGAACCCCTGCTCTGGATTCTTCTTTGTTGCCCTTCTCAATTATTGCCTTTTTATAGTTAAATTGGAAATAACATTTTGTTGGATTCCATGAGACAACACAACCACACCAATGAAAAGTTGTTACATTAAAAACTGAAAGGTAAATGTAATTGGATTTTAGAGACACCTATAGTTGGATTTCAAGTGTAGGCATGTAATGAAGGATGAAGATTTATCTAAAGGGAGACATGAGAGTTCTTGTTAATGTTGAGTTTAAGAATCTCAGTGACTGCATTTTACAGTACACAAAGTCATTTGGTCATAAATTTTAGTGAATGCACATTTGTGAGTTGATATGAAGTCTAAAAGAGCAACAGAATTGATAAGACCATCCCTTCTTCCCAAATGGAGAAAATGGTGATTTTATCCATATTTATGTATTTTTAAGTTTGCTTGTATTATTATTTTGTTAACATATATGCCAGACATATTACACACAAAAGATTTAGAATATGCAGTGTTAATTTTACCTGAAGCAAGAAGCCATCTGGTCAGAAATGGTAACAATATAAGACTACGTGGAACAATTTAGCCTAGGCTAAATTTCAGAGTACTTTCAAACATTTTTGCCTAATGTTTTCACTTGTTCTTGTAAGGGTCTGTCAGAAGCATCAAAGCAAACACAGGGACAAAAACTGGAAGTCTAAGAGCAAGATGTTTAAGGCAGAAGTTTAAATATTTAAAAGCATGCTTTATTTCTTTTAAATTATGAATTGGATTAACAAATAATGCTGACCTGTCCTTTAAATCAGATTTAACTGAGGAAAAGGAAGAAGCTGATTTTAAACCTAGAAGCTGTATATTATTGCTTTCTACATTTGTGAGGTTAGATTTTAATCCTTGCTGCATGTTGACCAACAGGCAGACAAATACAGAAAGTACTTAAGCTACATAGGGATATTGGAATGCCACTCATTGGTTGCTGGGAGAAAAGACAACAGAAAAGGCATGCTAAACTTTTAGAATTCTTTAAATAAATATCTCTGGTCTATAAATTGCAAATTGGCCACCTGTTTTTCAAAGTATGCTGAATACTTCATAATCAATGTCAAGAGCACTTTCACAGTTATTTAAAAGCTACATGCCAAGGTTTTAGTTAACACATGTAAAACACGTTTTGCTGGATGCATACAAAATACACAATTATTTAGCATTTCAGCTTGTGGACGTGGAATGAAATTCAGATCTATATATTTCAAAGATAATTTCATTCTTCACTATGAAACTAGAATTGGGACAAACTCACCAGCATTTTAACATTAGCAAAACTATTCATTATTAATTCCTGTCCCTGGATGTCTGAACAAGAATGATTCATGTGTATAATATCTGAATTTGTAAAGCTTATACCAGTGGTGGCGAACCTATGGCACGGGTGCCAGAGGCGGCACTCAGAGCCCTCTCTGTTGGCATGCGCACTACCACCACCAGCAGCAGGTCCATCAGGCCACCACCGCCACTCGGAGCAGGAGCCCCGCCCAACACAAAGGAGGCGAAGCAGCTGATTAGCAAGCTCGAGTAGAGGTGATAGAACAGAGGTCACCAAACATTGTCGATTGGTGGACTGGAAGAAAAGGAAGGGGGAAGCATTTTACATGTGTGCATGTGCACACAGGGTTGCGAGCATGCATGCACTGCAAATGGGGCGGGGCTAGTGCCTGCGTGATACTAGCCCTGCCTTGTTCTTGTGTGGTGCAGCGCCTTGTATCTGTATCCTGCAGCATGGCGGCAGCCATTTTTGCGCCTTGTAGCACGGTGGCCCATTTTTGCACCCCTGGTTTTTGCGTGCCAGAGGTGGCACTCAGAGGAGCCTCCCTGCCCCCCCAAGGGCATCACAATGCTGATGCGGCCCTGGCACTTTGTGATAAATAAGTGGGTTTTGGGTTGCAGTTTGGGCACTCGGTCTCTAAAAGGTTCGCCATCACTGGCTTATACCAATTACTGCTATATAAAGCTGGAAAATAAATTACAGATACACACACAAGATTATTTAATCAAATAACAGTCATAGCTGTTTAATCTGTTTAATCACACAGTATCTATGGCTGGAAGAGACCTCGTAGTCTTCTAGTCCAACCCCCTGCCCATGGCAGAGAACTTATAACATCCTAGACAAATGGTTGTCTAATACTTTCATGAAAACTTCCAGTGATAGCACCTACAGTTTCATGAGGCAAGCTATTTCATTGGTTAATTGTTCTCACTATCAGGAAGTTTCTCCTTAGTTCCAGATTGGATGTCTCTTTAGCGAGCTTCCACCCATTGCTTTTTGTCCTTTATGCAGCCTAGGACTATATTGGCTTCTCTTTTTTTGCAGCTGCAACACACTGCTGGCTCATATTTAAGTGGTAGTCCTCTAGAACATCTAGATCTCACTTGTAGTTACTATGACTGAGTTGGGTACAACCTATTTTACATCTGTACATTTGTTTTTTCCTGCGTAGATGTAGTATTTTATTTTTCTCACCTCTACATCTTGTTAGTTAGAGCCCAATGCTCACGTCTGTCAGGATCCTTCTGAATCTTGGGTCTATGACACTTTATCAAATCTTTGAAAGACAAATTAATAACATGTAATAAATGGCTGCTGTATTAAATCTTTTTTTAAAAAAAGAAGATGTATGTATTTCTCTGGTAAATTCAAGTTCTTACATTTTCAGATAAAGGACTCAGTTTTGATAGTGTATCAAAAGATATCATTTGAAATAATTCTGGAAATAATTTTCAAATCCTACAAAGAGTTTCATAAGAATGAGGTAAGATTTGCCTTACAGTGATTTGGAGCTGCCAAGAAAGTCAAAAGCACTTAAGCAGAATGTTGAATTTGTTAATTTTTAGCATGTCTTTTAAAGCTATCTAGTTTTATGCTAGAATACCTGTATTGGAATGGCCTAGGCAATCCATTAACAGTGCAACTACTTCTGCTCACTTAACAGAATGACAGAGTTGGAAGGGACCTTGGAGATCTTCTAGTCCAGTGGTTCTCAACCTGTGGGTCGGGACCCCATTTGGGGTCCAACAACCATTTCATGGGGGTCGCCAAACAACGCAGTCCGCCATTTTTTCCCCCTTTTCCTTAGCTGTGCTACTCCCTTTTATTTTATTGGCTTTTGAAAGCCAATAGAATAGACTCTCTTGAATAGAGTCTAATTCTATTGGCTTTCAAAAGCCAATAGGAATTGTCCAGGCTGTCTCTGCCCTGCTGAGCCCGCCAAAAGTCCCATTCTGCAAACGGTGCTGCACCAATTGAGTAGTCATCGACTTATGACCGGTTGAGTAGTCCTCGACTTACGACTGGTTGGGGGTCACGGCATTAAAAAGGTTGAGAACCACTGTTCTAGTCCAACCCCGTTTGAGCAGGAGACCCTATACCATTCCAAACAAATGTCTGTCCAATTTCATCTTAAAACCTCTTCTTTAAATGTTGCATCCACAACTTGTGGAAGCAACTTCTGATTAATTGCTCTTACTGTCAGGAAATTGCTCCTTATTTCTAGCTGGATCTTTTCTTGATAAGTTTCCATCTGCTACTTCTTGTCCTTCCCTCAGGTGCTTTGGAGAATAGGTTGATATGCTCCTCTCTGTGACAGCCTCTCAAATATTGGAAGTCTGTTATCATGTCACTCCAGTCCTTTTTTTTGTTAGACTAGATATACCCAGTTCCTGCAATTGTTCATTATATGTTTTAGCTTCCAGTTCCATAATCATCTCTGCACCTTTTCTTGAGTCTCAACATCTATTTTGCATCATGCTGACCAAAATACAAATACTTTGATGGATATACTGAAAATACTTGATAGACATCTATAGAACAAAGAGTTACAACTTGCAGTGAATAAAAATCGCTATTCCAGGAGAGAAGAGATACAGAATAGTTGAAAGACTTAGCTTTAATCTCATATTAAATACTACTGTATAGTGTGACACTGAAGTGCAGTATTAGGGGCAGAGCAATGGTGAATAGAATGTGAAAGATATGTGTATATAATGTATGTTTTTACTTGTAGTTTTTATTTGTGTGTAGTCTGCACTTAATTTCATTGTGGGATACACAATGTCAATAAAGATATTCTATCAACATTGCATAAGCTTCCGGAGATTGTCCACCTGCTCATAGACATTTCTAAATTCTGCATATTAGAATCCATTCAGCTGCCATGGTGTTTATTGTATGCTAATCGCCACAGTCCAAATATGTGTTTAGAATTTGCAGAAAGACTTTGGAGAACCTGAAACTATTAAACATCGAGTTATGGCACCCATCCTGCAAATTTATGCTAAAATATTAAATGACTGTCATTTACAAGAATATGCTATCAAGCATAGATCGTGACCAATTGTGGTAAAAGCTGGTTGATCAAAGCCCTTGAAAGCACTGTGAAATGACACATAGTATTAGTTTGGATCATAAATCATGTTCTATTTTAGCTCTGCACTGCTTGATTAACCTAGAAATACTCCTTAGTATCTTGATCACATCATGATTCTCAATCTCCCAGAGTTGGTGTTAGGAAAAAGTAGAGAATGTAGAGCATCCAACCTCCTCCAAAGAGCATTGCAAAATTAATCCTGAGATGACTGAAAGACAACAAGACTATTCTGTGGCAGTTGTTTTCCCTGGCAAAATATGCTTCGTCATATGAAAGAAATAGGCTGAAAATCACAACTGCTTTAAGCAGGGAGGATCACAGCAGAAATAGACCAGGCTCAGAGGAAATAAAAGCTGGATCTAGATCAGAAAGTACATTTGGCATACAACTACACTCCATGTACTCTTTTGTCAGATTATTATTATTATTGGAATGACTAAGGAGATTGTTCCAGATGTTTATGTATATGTGCATCTGAATTGAAGGGATGATAACATCCCTGAGACTTCAAGTTGTACCCCAGATTAAATTCATGATATTCACTTGAGGACAGTTAAAGAATAAATACATGCAACTTTGCTTTTGGAATTTCAGCACACAGATGAGTGATCTAGTACATAACTGTTTTTAAAAACAGGTTTTTTAAATAACTAGTTAAAGATAAAAAAGCAGATACAAGGATTTAACAGACAAGACTCATCCCCAAAGGGATGTAAGAACTTTGTTTATCAACTGTTCATAAATTATTTAGGGGTGACAGCGAGGAGGTTGAGTTGTGGATGGTACAGTTTATTTAACATGGTAAAAACAAAAGCCAACAACAAAGTGCTTCACATGCATTTCCAAACTCAATTAACGGCCTTTAAGCTTGCAATTATAACTGGTGGAAAGTGATGAACCAGAAAGAAATAATAATGGTTTATTTGGTTCTAATTGACAAAAAATGGAGCTTAGATCAAGTTGGATATCTCAGTAAAATATTGGTCCCAATATACAACAGCTATGAAAAATTTAATTCTTTGTTGAAACAATTAAGAATGTGTCAGAAATAATATTACTTGTGTCTTTCAATTATTTTAACCCTTTTATATCTGAGAATTAGCTTAAGAATAGCAAAATGACTTTATTACCATCAATATTGCTTTACAAATTCCACTTAGCATTATGTGGGTTATATTTAAAATTTGTATAAGATTCACAGTTTCTTTCCCATTGACTTCACTACTTTCTTTTTCACGAGCACATTTGTATTTATCAACCAGCTTAAGAAACACTCCTTAGTTTTAACTATCTATACTCCACAGAACTTTGTACTTTAATACATTTTTTGTCTTTAAAATGTTGGTGTTTCTAAGCAGACAAATATGGTTACCAATTTTGAATTGTCTCTAGCACCACCTAGTGTCTTTATTTATTAGATATTCCCAATTCTTTTCTTATTTCAGTTCAAATCTATCCCAAATTGCAGATATTAAAGATTAAGTTTTCTGGCTTATTAAAATATGTTAAAGATGAAATCCATGAAATAGCATGAAAACAGTTTCTCCGTTTATGAGCTATATAAGCATTTCTGCAAATCCAATTTCCCATCTCAGTGCAAGAGAATTATAATGTCAACAACATTAACACCCCCCCCCCAAAGAACATGAATCATTAGGCCAGATAATATATGAAAAAAATTGAACATCCCGAAGCAATCGCTCTCAAAATTAAATGACAAGATTGGTATGAGTGGAATTTATTTCTAGTTAGTACATTCAGGATTGTATCATTAGTGTTTTTGAATTGTGCAAGCTGCTTTTCCCCAGCCTGAGCAATTTCCAGATGTGTGATCTTTGATAATTAAAATTCTCAACCAGAACAGCACTGCTAAGATGTCAAAAAGCTTAAGTACATAGCTCTGAAAAATGAAAAATGTCCAATTGTGAATGGGATGTTATAAGCACTTTTGACTTATTGTGTATGACTATCTCTCTCTCTTTCTACCATCTATCCTGTATCTTAAGATATCTTTTAAAACAGTTTCTTCTAAAAGAAGTTAGATATTTCCACTAATAATAATGAGGCATTGATTTGCAGGTGGATTTCGCCAAACTGCTGAATTCCAATTGTCAACAGAAAACAATGGCAAGTTGGAGAGGAGGTAAGGTCTTCACTAGAAGATTAGACAATTAGTTCTTCCAGGAAAGGATTTATTCACTCAACATTATTTCAATGGCTTGGACATACATATTCAAGCTCCAGTTATTGTTTTTATCCAATCGTATTCAGTTTGAAGTAAATGGTTGGATTCATATGCTTCAAAATATATGATCTACCCAACAGAACACTTCTAGAAAATAAGTTCCCTGAGCTCTTGAAATTAAATATATAATCATAAATCATTTAAATTTTATAAAATATGAGAAAAATAGGTCTAATTTATTTCTACAAGTCTCACTTTCAACATAGTAGTTCAGAAGTAAAACGGGGTTTAATAAATATTCCCAATATAATATCACAGTTCTGGAGTTCTGATAATTGGGAATGCTTTCTGTGTAGAGATAAAAGCTAATTAAGGTCAAATAAAAGCTTTGTGTGGGCTTCGAATAAAAAAAAGTTGAGTTCTAATGGTAGAAGGGGAAAGAATAGGAGAGGGAATGTCAGCAGAGAACCAAAGCTGAAGATTTCAAAAAAATTCATATTTTCAGTTACAATCTGGGATTCTACATCCAGTGCTTTTTTTTGTAAAAAAAAAAAAAAAAAGGTGCCGGAACTCATGCACAGCTCTGGCTTCACCCGAAAGCCCTTTATAGAGCAGGGGGGGGGGAGAAAGAAGAAACCGCTTTAGGGACTTTCTGAGGTGCAGATCAATCACCTGGAAAAGGTCTGCCTCCTCTCTGCCGCAGTTACTGCTGCCACTCCGATCTGAGGCCAGGAGATGCATCCACAGCCCCCTGCGGCCCGATCTGGGCTCCTGGAAAAGACCTCTGCCACCTGGATCCATGGCCATGGAGCAATTTTGTGGGCCCCCAGTGGCCTGATCCAGATCTCTGGAGCCCAGATCTATGGCTGTGAAATGATTTTGCAGCCCCCCTGCAGCCCAATCCAAGCTACGGAGGCCTTTTCTAAGCCTTTGGAGCCCAGATCAGGCCACTGGAGGATCGCAAAATCACTGCACGGTCATAGATCTGGGCAGCAGAGGTCTTTTCCAGGCCTCCAGAGCCCGGATCGGGCCACGGGGGGCTGTGGACGCATCCCCTGCCCTCAGATTGGAGTGGCAGCAGGAACCACAGCAGAGAGGAGACAGACCTTTTCCAGGTGAGTCCCGTGTGGCAGGAAGGGGGGGGGGCGAAGCATGAGAGCATTAAGTGAACTCTCTTAACTCATTCACACTGGCAGCCTAGAAGGAACCGGTTCTTCCATTCAAAAAAAGGTTCCGCGAGTTCTATGACAAAAAAAGCACTGTCTACATCAATTACTGTAACAATATATATTGAGAGAGCCAGTTGGTCTGCTAGTTAAGACACCAGACTACAAGCCAGGAGACCATGAATTTAAGTCTTGCCCTAGCCATGAAAGACAACTGGGTGACTTTGGGCCAGTTACTCTGTTTAAGCCCTACCCACCTCATAGGGTTATTGTTGTAGGGAAAATAGGAGGAGGTAGGTGTGTTGGATATGTTTGCTGCCTTGAATTATTTGTAAAAATAATTATGGGATATAAATAAATATTAATGTAGATCCATACCCATATTGCATTAGAATGGTCTAATTAGTTTTGTATAAAAAGTTTTAAAAATCCAGTATAGTATACATTTTATGTATGTTATTTCCTTAATCCCAAACAATTTTGTAATCTTGTAGAAATAGATATCTGGATATTTGATTGCAATCAACTTTTGATTTTTGATCTTGACCTTTATTACTTTTCAGTTAAATCTTTGAATAAATCTGCCCTCCCTGGGGTGGCCATTACACAGTTTGTAGAAGATATTCCTAAAGGATACAGCACTCCTGACTTTGAGCGCAAACCAATTACTGTAACATTACAGGAAGGTGAGATTTCTTAAGGATTCGTTACTTCTGTTCTTAATTTTCTAAATGAATAGCAATTCTTTTAACCAATTTATTGTAATCAATTAAAAACTCCTGGTAAATGCTAAGTGCTTTGGTTTGTCCCTGATACCAGATTTAAAGCATGGGGATCTTAAATGCTAATAATGAAACAAGGTTCATCGTTGGCCTTATGCTATGCTTTTCCCATTCTGTTCTCTAAAAAATTGATTTATTTTTAATATTCACAATGGGATTTTAGAATTCAAGACCAAGGTTCCATAGGGATTTTTGTTTTTTAGATTTCTACTTCCCACTGAAAAGCAGCTTATGTGTTTCTTGTTTCTTCTTTGATAGGTAAAAATGCCATTTTCAGAGCTGTGGTCAAAGGTGAACCAAAACCAAAGGTTTTATGGAAGTGCAATAATAGGGAAATGGATGATTCCCAGAAATATCAAACATCTTTTAATCCTGGCACAAATGAATTTATCTTGCAGGTAATATTTAGCTACCATACAGCTGTACATGCTAATATATTTTCACTATTTAATTTTCAATAAAGTATATATTAGGGACTGACAACTCTCATAAAGACTCTGTCATGGTTCCGACTAATGAAACACTTCAAAGAACTTCCAGGCATGTTTATCCTAAAGCCTTTATTACCAGTGTTACAAATTGACGGCACATCATGGAGGTTTATGCCAGAATCTGAATTCCTCTTGCTGGCATCTAACTTCTCTTGCTAAACCCCTCCCTTATCTTGCAGTCACAAGTCACATCTTCCAATTAGCCCAGAGGGCAGAGATTCACTTCCGTTCCTTTTCTCTGGCTTTTGTTATTTCCCCTCCCTTTTCTCTGTCATCTGAATTAACTCTGAAAATACCAGACAGTTCTGCATATTTTGTTAAAGCAAGAATATTCAATATTAGCAGTGTTGACAGACTCATTTAATGTTGTAGATGAGATTTGACAGTTAATGTAACACCTGAAATATATGTTGCAAAATCACTTTGCTTATACTGCTTTTGGGCTGAACAATATTTCTTCTGGATTAATAAGGAAATTTGATATTAAATATCTAATATCAAAGCCTGTTAGAACTTGGTAGTTTAGCCAGATGATCAATTAAAATATTTGAGCAATAAAAGAGTGGATGAAATATCAATGAAAATTCAGAATATTATTAGAAATAAAAGTTGACCTACAGCAACACACCATGAAGTTATAGCAGCACATATCAACCCTATTTCAGTACTTAGGCCTATCACTTAAAGTGGATCTTTCTTTTATTTCTTCTTGGGTCTGAATTTTTTTTTTTTTTTTAGATTCTACTCCTTACCAAGGGGTATATCACTAAGGAACATTTTCTGGGTGACAATTCAGCACTATATTGCCCTTTTATTATCTCTTTTGATTGTTCAAGAACATCTGATCTCAAGAGCGGGAGTCTCTGCAGATTCAGATATAGGATCTCAGACCAGGACTACTTATTCAATTTGCTCTTAATATCAAGCTTTAGTCTAGGGTTTTTTTCAGTCTAAGGTTGAGAAACACTGGTCTAGGTTATCAGTTTTTTGCTCTCTGTGGCATATTTTGATGCCAGAAATCAGTATTGCATGGAGATCAAGCCTAATCTCTGTTAGATATATTAAATAGAATTTCTTATTTTAGTTTTATAACATAAAACAGTGTTAAAGATAAAGTGGATGGACATACTTTATATATTACATTAATAGCTGTAAATTCTATTTATAGAAACAAGAGAGGATAAGCATTTAATTTTTATGGATGGATGGATGGGCGGACAGACGGACAGACAGACAAACGGACAGACAGACAGACAGAAAGAATGAATTTTCTCAAGATTAGCAGTTCTACCTTTTTACTCAATAAACAGAAGAGTGGGAAATATATTATACCAGTCTAAGAAACTGTAATTTTATTCATTGCCCTGATTTCATTTTTTTCCCTTTGAAGATAAACAAAATTACTTCAGATGATGCTGATTTGTACCGTTGTATTGCTGTGAATGAGTATGGGGAAGCGACCTGTACTGCTGGTCTCAAAATTATAGAGGGTAATTAAATCATGTTAGCATGCTGCAATCTGTCTGAGCAATCTATCTGTGACATGGGGCTGAAATCAAGGGCAGCAACAGTATGCATCTGTATTTGTGTAAAAAAACCAAAGATGTGGTCATGATATTATGACCAAAGTCTGCTCCTTTTTTACGTTGCCTAGCATCACGTTACCTATTCATAAACTAAACTCACTATTTAACATCCTTGTAAGTTGTCTAAAAAGTTGTTTCCTATAAATGTTCAGATGTTTTAATACAAGTCATGTATATTTACCTCACTGAAAACTGTGTAAGTGCTAACTATAATCACTATAAATTCTACAAAACCTGTTGTGTGTATTCCTACCCTGGTATTGTTAATTAAGGATTCTTGTTTTGTCTCACTATCTCTTCCTTTTCTTTTATCTCTTATCAAAATGGCTCAGTAGACTTCAAGAAAAAAACACCGTTGCCTGTTACACAACAGGCAGGTGAGTTGCTATAAATGTTATAAAAAAATCATAATAGTGGTAATCTAGAAGGTCAAACCCAGGTCTAAAGTTTTAGTAAGTTTTATATTATAACTGTTTAAATATGATTTTGAACAAATACTTCATGCAAATAGCACATCTCTGCTATTCACTAAAGGAATCTGACTTTTTGCAGATTTTCATGAGAGCATGAAAAAACGCTCCTGTTTTAAAAGGGTGAACAACTCTTTAAGAAGCTGCTATTTATTTTAGACTAGTGTTTTTTAATAATTGGCAGCTTTAAGATGTGTGGACTTCAACTCCCAGAAGCTGAATGTGCTTGCTGGGAAATTCTGGGAGTTGAAGTCCACACATCTTAAAAATACTATTTTAGCTTCACATGGAGATACAAAGCACTTTGAAATCATTTTTAAAGCTTGCACATTTCTTGTGATGTAAGCTAAATTTTCATGCTAGTGTTTAAAATCTTTTATAGATTTAAAGAAAGAGATTCAAGACTTCAGAAAAACATTAAAGAAACGGTGAGCTTTCCAACAATGGCCTATGTTAAATAGGTGTATTTTTTTGTTATATGCTGGCAATAATAGTACAACAATGGCAGACAGAAATTCCAACTCCAGTATACTAAATTGTATATAAATTTTTGCAAAGTATATGAAACTTGTCTAATGGATTTGCATGTGTTTCTAAAGAGAAGTAATGATAAAAAAGTAGCCCTCCAGACTTTTCCCTCATATGCTTCTTCCACAATTACATGACATATTTTAGGTCTCTTGCAATTCATGTACAGTCTGGGTTTATCTTTTTGGGAATTAACCTGTAGAACACTTCCAATTGCTCCAAAGAAAAAAATGGATATGGAACAGATTGCACAAATATTGGTAAATGCAGAGAAGAAAGATTACGAGAAGATTTGCTTAAAGTATGGAGTTGTTGATTTCCGTGGAATGCTAAGAAAACTTCAGGAAATGAAGAAAGAGAGAGAGGATAAGCAAGCTCAAGTAAGACCATTTTGCTTCATATCCTGGGACTTGATTGGATAAATATTCAATACATGTTAAGTAATATATTAACAGAACGCAAACTTTCACTGCATTTTAAGGACAAAGTAACCATTAATCATTTAAAAAGGATCCTGCTGCAAGTCTTGGGTCTATTTCCATGGTGTAGCCCACTGAGAAATAATTGTCTTAACATCTTTAAATGGAGTTTATCACACCATTTTGTTCCTTTGATACAATAATGAATTTGTTCTATTTTGGTAGTGCAAATATTTTATATATAATGTTATATAAGGTCTCAGATGATTTACCTCTTTTTTGTTCTTACAGTATGTGTACAGTATTGCAAATCTGAAGCATCTGAAAGTCAATAAAGAACGAAGAAATGCTTCATTTGACCTAGAGATGGACCTGAAAAATCCAGAGAGCAGAATTTGCCTCTACAAAGTAAGGAAGGAAAGATAGTGATTTGGCTAAATCAACAAATGAACTTTATGAGAGAAAGCCATGGCTGCACAGGAGCTAAACAGCTATGGAAAGAAGCAGATTAACACTTCATTTGACAATAGCAATTTTATCTCAGAAATAACATTGCCAGTATGGCTTTATATATAGACTTCCTTTATGGTAGCACATAAAACACAAATATTAGGAGAACAGTGTAAAAAAATGGATGGAGATGATATAGAAAGAGATAAATGAGTAGAAGAAAGAAGGAAGAAGAGAAATAGCAAAGATTAGATGTTACAAAAAGGATAAAATTCAGCAGAGCAGCAGCCCTTCCAAATGGTTGGATAATAGTTAGTTCTCATGGGCACAATAGCAATCTGATTCTTGAATCTTTTGTACTCTCATTCATTCATTTCTTTTCAATAGCAGTCTTCTGTTCTTCTTAGCAATATAAATTGATTATTGTTCATCCCTAAACAAGTTATTGTTTTAGGAAGAAAACCTCTACTTGACCAATTCAGATATGGCTAATAACAAATTAGGGCCTACTTTGTTTTTCTTAAAGTGACTATAATTCAAATCTTACTTAAAATAACTTTGATAAGAATAAATTCAGATTCATTTTACAAGGATGTAGCTTTGCCTGTTCATTTGTTCTTTCATCTTACTTCTAGGATGGCCAGAAGATCAATTTTAATGATGACAACTTAAAGCACCACCTACAGCAAGAGGGCAAAAACTATCATTTTACCATCAATGATCTGCAGCCAGACGATGCTGGCATTTATCAGGTCAAAGTAGAAGATGTAGATATCTTCTCCACTGAACTGGAAGCAGAAAGTAAGGCTTCCTGACCAAAGGCTCCACATGGGTGTGCATTTGTTTCATAACAAATGAAATACCAGACAAACTAGGATTAATTCATTTCATTTGTTACTAGTGAAGAAATAAATGCTAAAGATGTAGATAAATTTGAAATGCCATATATTCATTTGTTGCTCATGTTTAACATTCATTTTCTCAGACTGAAATTACAATGGATGAAAAATAGGAAGGAACATGTCATATTTTAATTTTGACAGAGGGAGTCTAGAAAGAGCAAGAGAACCAGGTACTCCAAAACTGCCAGAGAATGACAGAGGACAGGCTTTTTGTTCTGTTCTTGTTTTGTTTTTAAATCAGATTCTAACAAACATATAAAACAATCAAATAGTCTTCTGAGTCAGATTTTGTTCCTGATTTCATGAAAAAAAAATGTACAATAAGAAAGCCATTTGCATTTGCCATTTCTGCTTTCTATAACTTTTATACATATTTTCTGTAAACTTCCCAGTCTAGCTAGAGCCTTGTGGTTTTCTGGCAGTCAACCATTCAATTCCTAAGCAGGTAAGAACCTGCTTAGCTTTTTCTATCAGCCACAGTTGGATTCCAGAGAGCTCACTAAAAATGTAGGATAACATTACTTAAATTAAAAGATTCTTAAAATCTTACTTGCGCTGCTCTTTATATTTCCAAAGCACTTTTTTGGATGTCCACATTTCTGGAACAGCTGTTGGTAAAGATCATGTAACATCTGCCCTTCAGTATAACAAAGAAGCTAGCAAAACTTCAAAGCCTTTCAAAAAGCAGTGACATTTTCCTAATAAAAATCATATTCATAATCCTCAGAGTTACCAATTCTTTTTCCTCCCCTCTTTTATCATAAATGTATGAAAAAATAATGCCAAAATGTAAGATTGCTAATACTTCTAGGTTTCCATTCAAACACATCCAAGACCACACCTGGAATACTACAGCCAATTTTGGTCACCATATCACTATAAAGATGTTGAGAGTTTGGAAAAAATTCAGAGAAGAGCAACTAAGATGATCAAAGGCCTGGAGACTAAAATATACAAAGAACGGCTACAGGATTTGGGTTTGGCTAGTCTAAAGAAAAGAAGAAATAGGGGAGACACGATAGCAGTATTCTAGTATTTGAGAAGCTGCCACAAAGAAGAGGGGGTCACGTTATTCACCAAAGCACCAGAGGGCAGGACAAGAAACAATGGTTGGATATGGATCAAAGAGAGAAGCAACCTGGAATTAAGGAGAAACTTCCTGATAGTGAGGACAATTAACCAGTAGAATAGCTTGCCCCCAGAAATCGTGGGTGCTCCATCACTGGAGGTTTTTAAAAAGAGGCTAGACAGTCACTTGTCTGAGACAGGTTCTCCTGCTTGAGCAGGGGAATGGACTAGAAGATCTCCAAGGTCCCTTCCAGCTCTATTCTATTCATTTGGAGACTGCCTGGACAAGTCCCTGCAGATTTCTTGGTAAGGATTTTCAGAAGTGGTTTACCATTGCCTCCTTTCTAGAGCTGAGAGACAGTGTCTGGTCCAAGATCATTCAGTTTTGTGCCTTAAGGCAAACCTAGACTCATGTGACCACTACACTAAACTGCCTCTCAGGTTTACATATTATATGTAAGAGTGCAGTTTACTTACACAACTGTGAAGAAAACCTGCATTTTCCCAACTTTATTATGCATAGTTTTAAAAAGTGATCTTAAAGACATAGATTTTTCTCATTTTTCCCTTAAAATTTGCCATATTTCACATTGTGGAAAGAAAATATAGAGGTCTAGATTTAAATATTCAACTTTGTTTTCCACTGAAAGCAGAAAACAAGATGCTGAACAATAATAGAATAATAATGAAAATGAATGTGATTTTAACAAATGAATAATTCTATGAATGATAATATGAGAACAAATAGAAAAGTAATTTTGCACAACTCATGTGTAATCAAATGTATATGATCCTCTGCATGTAACCTCGAAAGAAACCCCACTGTCTTTAATGCCAGGATTGTAGGAAGCATAATATTGTAGCATGAATGGCATTAAAGTGAACAATTAAAAGATTCAAGCCAAGGTTTTATGGTATCCTTATATATTAGCTCCTTAAGTAATATATTATGAAAAATGTCAGATTAATAAGTCATATGTACATGCAATAAACATGCCTTTTCAAAGTAACTAATAAGTATACATACCAAATGTATAATTTACTATGCACAAAATCAACATTGAAATGCCTCAGAGTAAGACATTATGAAATAACCCTCAATCTCGCAAATGAATCCAACATTTACAGAAAGCTATTGTATAAATTGGGGATTTAAATTAGGACAGAAAAGACATTATCAGGAAGACATTTTCAACTAACTATTAGTTGAGAAAACCTACATTATAAATCTGATTATTTTCAGCTAAGTTTGAAAAGTGGATAGGTAGCCCTCATCCATTGATAAATGAAATCAATATTTGCCATGCTTTTTCTACCTACAAGTATCTTCTGCCTCACATTTTGAATTTGTTATATGTCTATTTCCAATTAATTCATTATTTCAGATATTCCTGTAAACTGTTGCTCTCTACCTAGTGAGAATGAAGTGCCACCAGAAAGAAAATGCTATTTTCTATGGAGCCTATATCATTTAGAATCAAATGACAATTATGATATCTCAATCTTGAATGATGACCTTATTTACTATTTAGGCATTAAAAACATCCAATCCTCTGATAAAGAGACTTACTCCATTGACACTGGAAGCTGTTCTTCAAGTACTTGGCTTGAAGTCAAATGTGAGTGATGTTCTAATCTTGAATTCTTACAACATAACCCTGCAGATGTACCCCTTTCTCTTCTAATAACATCTAACAGTGCTATATTCAAGATCTCATTGAGAAATGCCTAATTATGGGTTGCAAAGATTTAAATGAGGAAATTCTGGAAAAGGTTTTAAGGTTCCCTAATCATTAATGACTTCTTCCAGATATTCAAATGGTAACATTTGCTTAGGAATTGTTGACCAGAGTGCTTTGCAAACATTATTAATGTACTGGTCTTAAATAATTTTTTACTTTGAAGGATTTCAAAGAATATGCTTCTAAAATATAAAAATAATCACAATTTGCATGATGTAGTGCAATGTTTCCAGCAGTACTGGAATCATTATATATCCCTAAACTATCTGAATGTGGAAACTATTCTAAAACTGATAGCTGTGGTTACTTTTAAATCAATATTAATTAATGTAAACCATTCATGTAACATAGAAGCTATAATGTCTTGCAGTTTGAAGATCTGTATTTATAATAATAGTTATTTTGCTACCATATAAATACTGTTTATAAATAAGATGTTTATGAATGATAAATTAGCTATAATTTCATTCAGTTTGTTTAAAAAACAATTCTTGTATGCTACTGATCATGATATGGCACAGTATCATAAAACAAATCTAGGAGGAGTGATGTTAATTTAATTAAGGTGTTTCATTTATTAAATTGAATTATTTTGCATTAAATTACAAGAAATAAATGGCTTTGCCATTTCACTTTAACCATCAGTATATTTGTAATACAGCTTCTAAAGAAAAGAGAAAGCAATCTGAAGAGGACAGTAGTGATAAAGCTGGACAATGGAGCAAACCATTAGATGAAGAGCATGCTAAGAAACTTCACCAAGGAGAAAGGCAGAAAGATCAAGATCTCCTTGCAGACTTCAGCATGGGCAAAGATGCCCAGTATGGGAATGGCCAAGTTAGCAATGCAGAGCTTTATAACAGCCTGGGAAAAGATGGATCTTTGAGAAGTGATGGGAAGATAGGATTTGATCAGAATGCAGTGTTAAATAGAAATATCAGAGGAATAGGTAGTTTGATTAGCAAGACCTCCCAATATGGGAAAAATACAATGTTAGCTTTCAACACTGGACCTGAAGGTACAAATGGATCAGTGTTGGGATTAGGCACTGCAAAAGTCAATAGCAATCAGTACATTGTGGGATACAATGCTGGCTCTGGAGTTGGATTTGACATATCAAGAAAGATAGAAGGACTTTATGGCAAGGAAGTTACATTGGGTGATTCTGATCAATTAGGAGTCAGGTTTGACAGTAAAGGAAGTCTCTGTATTAAAGATGGTGGGTTAAATGGTGCAGATATGTTTTATTTCAAGGATAATAAGCTCTCAGATGAAAGTAGACCTTACAGAGATGATTGTGTAACAGCTGAGTTTGATATAACAGAAGGTGATATAGGAGTTGCAGGGAAAACTTATGACAAAAATAATCATTTAGGGGAATCCAGGGGTCTTAATCCTGAGCTTGATGGCATGAAAAATGGCTGTGGCAATAATGATATGGCATATGGAATTGGTAATGGTGGAACAATGAGTGAGATTTATGTCAACGATGTAGTGCTAGCTGAATCTGAGGTGGTGGCTAGATTTCCTAGTGCTGGAGGGACAGTTATGTATAGTGGGATAAAAGGAATGTCAACTGAATCAGACACTGATAGACATAATGATGCTGAAAGACTAAGAAGGCTATATAGCAAGGGTGATATGATAGTTGATGCTGGTGTTTGCATAAGTGGCAAGAAGGATGTATTAAAGGGACCTGTTAGACCTGATGGTGGATATTATAATATGGATGTTGTACTACAAGGAATGAGTGCTTGTGACAACATTGATGGACTCTATAATAAGAATGATATATTAAGAGGCACAGGTACTATTGGACAAGGTAGGGCCGCAAGCATAAGCAGTCTTTATTGTGAACATTGTACACTTGATGGAACTGTTGCTGGGGGACTTTACACTATTAGAAACATCAATGAACAGCATGGTAAAGAAGTTGAAATAAATGGAGCTAATGCTAGAAGCATAAGTGGACTTTATGATGGGAAACTAGGACTAAATATTAAAGATGGTAAGCTAGGGAGAACAGAGGGACCTAGTGGACACTGTGGCAAGGATGACGTGCTAGGTGAAATAGACACTAATATAGCTGGTAGTGCTGGTGGAATAGATGCACAGATTGGTAAGGGCGTCCTGCTAGATGAAATTGGAGCTAATGAATATGGTAATACTGTGAATATCATAGGAATCAATAACAAGAATGGAATACCAAATAAAGCGAGCAATTGTGGAGCTGATAGTTCTAGTGGACATGATATGCTATATGGCAAATGTTTTGGTGATGCTAAGGACACTGATAGATTCTACAGAAAGGTTGCTATACAAAATGAAGCAGATACTGCTGGACTGTCTGGCCAGAATATTATGTCATGTGGATTTTATTCAGATGGTGGTGGTGATGTTAGGGAAATAGATGGATTTTGTGTGAAAGGTGATATATTGGGAAAAGTAGGTCCTAGTGGATTTGGAATCTTTGACAAAAATAGTATGATAATTGGTACTGTAGATGATAAACTTAGTAGTGGTGAAAGATTAGCTAGCAAAGCTAATGTTATTGGAGAAACAACTAGAATGTATGATAAGAATGGAATGTCAAATGGATTTGTTAATCTTGGAGGAGTTTCTGGATATGATAAAGATGGCATGCTAAGTGGAACTGGTGCTAGTGGACCTGTTGGAGCTGGAAGCACTGCTGTATTTTATAGCAAGAACAGCATGCCAAATGATACAAGTACTGCTAGACTTGTATCCATTGAGAAAGAAAATGGATTTAGAATGGGTGATAGATTGAATGGAGTCTGTGCTGGGAGTAAATTCAATGGCAAGGGTAATATGCCTGGTGTCACAGGCAGGAGAGAAGTTGATTCTAAAGGCATGGATGAATCTTATGATAAGGATGGCATACCAAGTAGAACATGTGCTATTGGATATTATGGCTCAGTAGTACATAATCTACATGACAAGGATGGTATTGAGAGTTTACCATTAAATGCAGGCACTAATAAATCTGGTGGCATTGGTAATATAGATGGAAACTTTGGCAAAGGCAAAATGCCAAATGTAGTAGACATTTATGGACTTGATGGTATTGGGAGAGTAGGTGGACATATTTTATGTAGAGCAGGCCCAACTGGCTATGTTGTTATTGGTAGAATTTATGACAAAGACAGTGTATTTAATCAATTTGGAGCTGGAAATATTGAGGGTGCAGGTGAATCTCTTTGCACAGCAGGAGGAAAAGGCACTGAATTCTGTGAAAGAAATGATGTATCGAAAAAAGAGATCTTAGATAAACCTGATGGTGCTAGTATTGTAAGTGGACTTTATGGAAAAAATGGTTACCTCATTGGAAATGGTGTAGCTGGAGGATTAGATGGGCTTTATGGTGAGAATGGCGAGCCAGAAAATAGAAACATTAGTGGCGTAAGGGGAATAAGTGGGCCATATGGTAAGGATGATGCATTATCTAGCACAATTGCTGATGAGGTAGGATTTAATAATGAAAGAAACTTCCATTATCACTATAATGAAGATGTCATACACTGTGGAGATAGTATAGGAGTTAGAGATGCTAAAGGATCACTACATGAGAAAAAGCCAGACATACTTGTTGAAGAGTTCCTGAGCTATGACCAGGCTTCTGGCCTTTATGATGCTGTATCTCATGCTGGTGACAGAAGAAAGGAGCTGTCTGATTTAGAGGCCAGTGGATCTACACCAGCTGATTTTTCAAGGAAAGGGAGAGGAGAAAAACTGCTTGAAGAGGACTTGAGAGGTATTTATATATTTATGAATGAGTTTTTGCATTCTTTTTTAAAGTGTGTTTTAGTATGCCTTTGTAACACATGTTGTGTAGTATTTTTTCTTTTAAAAAACATCTTTTTAAAATGAGTGTTTCTGTCTTTTGGCTATTCAGAACCACTTTGCCATTTGCATCAGCGTTTATTTGATGTCCATGCTCAGAGAGGAAAACCAACTGAGTTGTCTTGCCGTCTCAACAATGATCAGGTCAAGGGAACTTGGTTTAAAGACGGAGTGAAGGTATGATGTTGTTAACTTCTGATAAATGAAGGACTCCTTATTTCATACACATTGTACCCAATGAAGTTTTATTTGGAAATCAAATTGATAGCATTGGCAACAACGAACAATAATAATAATATGTAGTAATTTGAAACAAAGGAAAAAAAACTGATTCGTGTATTAATTCAATTTATAAATCTATCTATCTCACTTTTATATGACTTTAGGTCAGACATGTCAAACTCACGATGTCATGTGATGTCATGCAATGTATTGGGCCAGTTTTGCCATTGCCAGCAATGGGGTGGGCACGGCTTCCAGATGACCCGTCTGGCCTGTGGGCCGGCAGTTTGACACCCCTGCTCTAGGTGGCTTACAATAAAATAAATAAAATATACAATGTAAAAAAAAAATATAAAGCCCATAGAGTCTAGGTATCATCAACCAATAATCCACACAGCCAGAAGAACAGGGCCTTAGGCTTGTTCAAGGCCTTATGAAAGCCAACATGGATAGGGCCAATCTAATCTCATCTTTTAATGTTGCAATGTATTGATGTTCTAAAGTGCAAATGCCACAGCATAAAATTCTCTCCTTCTGGCCCTACTAGCTGACACTCTTTAGCTACCAGTACCAGGAATATACTCCTCCTGCCAGGTCAGGTAGATAGAAACAATTGAGGAAAAATGGTCTTATAAGTAACTGGTCCCAAGCCATGAAGGGGTTTAAAAATGGCTACTAGCACTTTGAATTGTACGCAGAAGCACCCCAAAAACCAGCGTAGCACACAGAACTGATGCCAGTAACTGCTTGCACCACCGCTTTCTGCACCAGTTGAAGTTTCCAAATAGTTTTCAAGGGCAGTCCCATATAACGCACATTGCAGTAAACCAGCCTTGAGGTCATAATTACATTCTTCTTTTACTAGGCTTCTTGGTGAGTTGCAAAAAATAAATAAATAAAGAATACCATCAAACTTAAAACCAGAAAGCATAAATAAAATAAATCTAAAATAGGTATTTAAAATTGCAGTGGAGCAGTTTCTTACTACCAATTTAAATTATAGTAACAAGAGAGAGTGTCTTAATTCTCCATGGATGAAATTATATAATATGTTTATTGCCACCCAAAAACTCCTGTCTGAAATATACGCTATCTAATCTTAGTGGAAGAGCAGGACAAATAACTGCTTCCAAACATTATTGTCACACAGCTTCATGAGAGTTTTACTCATTGTACAAATTATGGAGCTGAATTACCATTCACAAAAATGCATATGCATTTGATTGGAATATAATCTGAAGCAAGAAGAATTACCACAGTTGTGCAATGATTAAAAAAATGTAACTCTAACTTCAGAGTTCCCCATATCTGTATCAAAGTTAGCTTTGAACCAGATTGAATGTTTGTTCAATGTTGCGTATACTTTTTGAAATAACATATTTTTTCTGCATTTTTTCAACTTTCCCATAAGGTAACAGGTTTAGCAGCAATCTCCACTGAGAAAAACGGCCCAGTCCACAAATTGATGATAGACAAAGTAGAAGACAGGCATGCTGGAAAATATAAATTTGAAGCTGAAGGCATCTGCACAGAAGCATCTATTTTTGTTGAAGGTAACCTTAGCCATGTCATCATTTAGCAAATCAAATGGCAATGGCTAAGTACCACTGATTAATCATGCACTTAATACATGAGTGGGCAATCCTTTTCTCCTTTCCTTTAGAAGCAATCAGAGTGAGATGGCATAATACATTGGTGAAACTAAAGACAGGCACTTTTGGGGAGATCTGTTCCAATACTTTTTCAAACACTATTTTTATTTCTTGGTTCCTGACACTGTCTTTGCTTTCTCTGATACTGTCCTCACACAGCAGGCTCCCCACAGATTGTTCTTGAAATAATTGTAATTGATCGCTTATATAGGGTTTTCAATATTTAATGGAAAAATGCATAAAACTAGGTTGAAGGAATATCTATAGTCATAAGCCACTGACTGCCATTCTAGCTTCAGAATAAGACTTTTTTGAGTTCATAAGACTGGGGGGAATGAAAAAGAAATTGAATTAATCAGTCATATAGGTCAACATTGCAGTACTGCAAAAGCTGAGAGCCAGTAGCACTTGGAGGATGTACCATTAGTAAGGTATTAATTTCTGTAATATTTTCTATTATTTTCTATTTCTTCTCTTTAATTGTGTCTGACTCTTGGAGTCTGCCTGGACAAGACCATGCAGTTTTCTTGACAAGGTTTGTCAGAAGTGCTTTGATGTTGAAGTGCTTTGAAGGTGAAGAAAAGCAAGAAAAATAGGAAAAATAGAGAAATAGAAAAGAAAAATAATAAGAATATAGCAAAGAAAAAGAAGATGGATATAGAAAGAATTTAAATATTCCATGAATAGTAAATTTCTGCAGTCACTCACTGGATATAAAGTTTTACCAGAAGATTTTATTTTATTGTTTTTAAAAAGTCAAAAGTAGTAAGCATTCAGTGGCTTAATCAGTGTACCCTTTGTTTGCATTCAGTGGCTTAATCAGTGTGCCCTTTTTCAGATCCTCCAGATGTTGATTCCATAGTTCTGGAAAAACTAAAGAAGGAACCTATTGTGGTAAAGGCAAGAAAAAATGCCATGGTTAAGATTCCATTTGAAGGTCGGAAGCCAATCAGAGTAATGTGGCTAAAGGATGACCAGGAACTTCTGGATGATGAGGGCAGGATAAACATAGATTCTTCAGAGAGCTTTACTCGACTCTCTATATCTAGCACCAGCCGAAAGGATACTGGAGATTATAAAGTGAGATTAAAGAATGAGTGTGGAAGTTTTGAAGTTCCTCTCAAGCTGGAAGTGATAGGTAAGGTAATTGTAGTATTCAGGCAACTATTTTTGTAATATAAGAAACAATGAAGTAGTTTATAAGGAACTCAAATAGGTATTGTTAAACATTTGTACATGGAATAATTTTGATTGCTTCTTAATGGGAAACTGAATAAAAAGTTGCTGTAAAATAAAGTAGACAATATTTTTAAATATAATCAAAGACAGATACAAGAAATTTGTTTGTAGCACTATAATGTGCAGCAGTGGGTTCTCAAACAGGGCCATATGGCCCTCTGTGGTCCCTAGGTTATATATATATATATATATATATATATATATATATATATATATATATATATAACCAATAGTTTTTCTGTACTCTTCCTTTGACCAAATGTTTTATTTGTTTAGTCATTATTGCTGTGTAGTGTTCTTTCCAAGGAAAAGGGGATCTCATATTGGGAACCAGAGATGGAACTTTCTTCCATTTTAGGGCAGAATACTTGTTTCTCAGATAGAAGACAATTATAGTAGTAGACAGATGAGCAAGAGGAGATGGACAGAATGAGTTGCTAATATTTAATTCATTAGCATCTGATTCACTAGTTCAATATAATAATGGTAGTAAATAGTGCATTTATAGTATTGTCAGCTTCCTTTTTTATAATGTATTTGTATCTAGCCTTAGTCTGCTAGCTTCTATCAAGCAATTATAATAAAGCCCTTGCCCATGTTCTCTGTTTTGGTCTTTCATTCAGATAAGCCACAATCACCAACCGGACCTATAGCAGTTGTAGACAGTTCCGCAAATGGCATAACTATTCAGTGGAAGCCCCCAAGAGATGATGGTGGTAAACCAATCCAGAGTTATATTATTGAGAGGCAACAGGTTGGTAGAAAGACCTGGGTGACACTGGGAAAAACCAGTGGAAGCTCTACTATTTTCACCACCAACAAAGTGGAACATGACACAAGCTATTACTTCAGGGTGAAAGCAGTGAATTCCTTGGGCACTAGTGAGGCCCTGGAATCTGATGAAGTCATGGCTGCTGCAAAAGGTGATTTGTTACTTTCTTTATGTATGTTTGTCAAAGGATTATGAAATGTCTAATGTTGTAGCAAAATCCAAAGAATTTTTCATTAATTTTAAACATAGACTGAACATGAACATTGCCATTCAATCCCATGAGTACTTTATACAAATATTATTTCTTGAGCCTTTCAGGCAATTCATCAGATGCAATATTTTGACAGTTCTTACAGAAAGCTCCTAAGATAATACTAATATTATTATTTTTTATCTCTATGTGTATGAGGTGAAAATTGACCTAGTAATAGAAGATTTATTCTCTTTGCAAATATGAATCCATTGTATTCAAGAATCAATTTTGAGCTGCTGCTACTTCTTGGGATAGGATAAAACAAAGCCAAATTCACAGTTGTAAAGAAAACCTCTACATCTCTTGTTCTGGCCAGATCTCCCTCTGACAGTATTGGGATTCACTATACTGTAGCTGCTCCTCACTGCAGGGAGGAAGGAGCTATTTGATCAGAGTCCCTCCAGACATCTGATGGATCTTATTGGGTTTCAGAGGGGACTTGAGATGGTTCCTGAGGCTCTGATGTGTAATGCAACTGAGACCTTAGGTGCCACTTGGAATGAGATGGCAATGATACCCTTGTAGCAATGATGTGGAGTCCCCCTGTAAATGGCTCCGAGGGAGTTCAGAAATAAAACAGCAGATGTCCTAGAGCACTGATGGAGGGAAGTTCAGGGCAAACATGACAGGGTTTAGGGTGAAATATGATCTTATGGTAATAAAATCAACAAAACCTAATTATTTTCATCATGATCACATCTGCAGATGATGACCCAGTCCCTCTTGCATAGCTTTATGAGGGCTATTTGAGGCACCTGTCAGTTAAAATCGGTTTTGACTTATTTTATTTTTAAAATCAGAACCTCTCCTAGCTGTTTTTTATTATCTCAATTGACAATCAAACAACATAATTTTAAAATCTTGGATATAATTCCTCAGCTTCTCCAAGCCCTCCTGCTCCACCTAAAGTTATCAGTGCCAACAAAGATGCCATCACAATTTCATGGTCTGCACCACATAAAATAGGGAATTCCCGGATTTTGGGCTACAGAGTTGAAAAACGCAAGAAGGGCAGCAACTTCTGGACATCTGTCACTGATTTGCCCATAACAGGTAAGCAATTTATGTTTCTATAAGAGCTAGAAGGAGTATAAAAGATTTAATTAAAGGGAATTGTAATACTCACTTGTATTTTATAGTTAACAATGCAGGTAGCCTCTGACTTATAACCATTTGTTTAATGATCAAAATTACAATGGCACTGAAAAAAGTGACTTATGATCGTTTTTCACATGATAGTTGCAGTATCCCTATGGGCACATAATCAAAATTCAGATGCTTAGCAACCAGCTCATATTTATGATGATTGCAGTATCCCAGTACTGCAACCATCATGTGGATCATGTGATCACCTTTTGTGACTTTCTGACAGCAGTCAATCGAGAAGTCAGATTCACTTTACAACCATGTTATTAACTTAACAATTGCAACCATGGCAAGAAAGGTCATAAAATGGGGCAAAACTCACTTAACTATCTATAGCAACAGAAATTTTGGCTCAGTTGTGGTTGTAAGTCAAGGAATTCCTGTATCACTTAAATTAAAGTTTGATTAAATGCTGAAATAGATAATTAGTTATTAGACAGATATCAGAAACATCTTCACTTGAAAAAGTTTGATCTGGGTAGAGTTGTCCAAATAATTACTTTTTTCTCAGTATCCATAATTACATTTTCCTTTCCATGTAAGGTCTATCTCTGCAAAGTTTAATCTGAGTAAAGTGTTCAAAACAATTCAAAATTCTTTTCTTGATGGGTGTGGCATTGTGATGTTGTTGAAAGGTAAATTTGTGTGGCCAAACACAATCATTATTTATTGAATGATATTCACATTAGTTGGGATTATATAGAAAACAAAAAAATAGCATTAAATACATGATTATATTGGCTCTATGAATATATATTTCCTACCCATCCTGGCCTAAAAAGAAAAAAACTGCAGAGTTTTCTTGGGGTTCTTTGCACCCAGAAGAATTAGCTAGATAGATGATAGATAGATGGACGATAGATAGATAGATAGATAGATAGATAGATAGATAGATAGATAGATAGATAGATAGATAGACAGACAGACAGACAGACATGTTGTGTGTGTGTGTGTGTGTGTGTGTGTGTATGATCTTTATCTACAACCTTTGGTTTATGACTTTCTTCAATTTCTGCAATCATAGACTAGCCCCAGTCCCAAGATACCCTTTCTCTCTGCCATTTTTGTCATATTCCCCAGATACCTTTTACATTGCTGTATCTATTTGATCTTAAAGCCAGAACGTCATCAGATAGGAAATAATGTGTTAAAGTCATAATAGAAATTTCCTATTTGTATAACTGCACCTTTCTCCCCCTCCAATCATGGAGATTTTTTTTGCATTTCTATTTCAGTACTCCCAGAACTGGATTGCTATTATTATTCTATTTCTATATACGTTTCATAAATGCTACAGAATCTTATTTATTATTTCCCAGGTTTAAATTCATTGAAATTTGGTCAGAATGGATTATAACAATCTGATCCAAAGAATATAGATTATTGTTATTATCTGGTCAGAAAAAAATGTAAGTCTATAAGGCAAAAGAGTAATATTTCATTCTGACCTCAGAATCCCAAGAATGACACCTTTAGGACAACAACTGGGAACCCAAACTCATACAAAAGCCAATGTGTATAGATATTTCGTACTAGCTCAGTTTTTTCTTCTTTATGAAATTCAAAAACCTCACAACAAAGCAAAGATGAAGTATATGCATAAATTAATTTCAAATATTAGAGAATTATGTGATCTATGTTATTAGGATAATAATTACAAACTCAGTAATATGCATATGCCCATAGTTTATGTGATAAAACTAGCTCATTTATGCTATAGACAGGAAATATACAGTGAATGATTTGAAGGAGGGACTGCAGTATGAATTCCGTGTGGCCGCCATCAATAAAGCAGGTGTGGGTGAGGCTAGTGCTTCTTCAGAAGCTATTTATGCTCGACATCCTATGAGTAAGTAGTTTACTCCCTTCTTATATTTATTTGCTTATTATTCAGTATATATTTATGTTACTTCCCCAACAACTGTGACATTAAACGGTTTGCAATAAATAGTTTATTAGTAGTGGCACTGAAAAACTGCAAAGGTAGCAGGTGGATAGAAAAAGTTATTTCATACAAAGTAGTGGCATGTGATTACCTTCTCTCACAATCATATAGTAAAGTGAAATGTCCCTTCCAGAAGCATTGTGCATTTCTCCAGAAAGTTCCCTTATCTCACTCTTTGCTGATTTAAGTATTCCAAAATAGCTACAGTATGTATTTGTAGAAGGGCCCTTTCTGAAACAGTTCTTAGTGTTCTGGATACATTCACGTTCCAAAACACAATGCTCCCCCCCTCCATTTTGTGCATTCCTAGTGCCCCAAAGGACAAGATAATCATTAACCACATTCATGACTTCCTTTAAAAAAACTTCTTTGTTTTAATTATTAATTATTAATTTCTGTTAGCTTTTGTATTTTTAGTGTAAAAATAAGATTATCTAAAAAAGAAGCATGAATAAACAAATATTATATACCAAACAATGAGGTAAGCTATTTGTCAATCTATACATAAAATGGAATTTGTCTGGCTGCTATTGAATGGGTGATATTCAGTTTTGAGTAAATTGTAATACAGTAGCTATTCCATTGACAGTAGGAAAAAGTAAGTTACTATTAGAAAATGTACCGTGGTGAGGGAAAGAAAGAATGAAGAATAGGGATTCCTGTAAAGGTTAATAAAGCAAAGGAAATAATGGCAAACAGAATGGAAAAATGTAACCCCAAAATGATATCAAAGTTTTAACATACCTTTTTCCAGAACCTCCAGGTCCAGTGAAGGATCTAAAAGTGGTTAATGCTGACTACTGTAGCATCTCTTTATCATGGATGAAACCAGAATCAGCAGAAGAAAATTATGTCAGAGGATATATTGTTGAGATTCGACATTCTGATACTCTGAAATGGACCCAGTGTAATACTGTCCCAATGCGAACAACTGCATATACAGTTAGAGGATTGAAAGCTAGGGAGACATATTTCCTACGCGTGAGAGCAATTAGTGATGGTGGTATGGGTGACCCAGTTGAAGCTGATACTTGTGTTCAGGCAGTACCTTCTTCTGGTAAGTCAAACTATGTAATTTCTGCTTTGGAAATTAAATATTTATAGAGATAATTCTGGAATATCTTATTTATATGAAATTCTATGACTGTTACTTCTATTTATATGAAGTTCTGTTCAAAAATAATGAAAGGAAAAAGCAAAGCACATGAAATCTATGATACAGCTATTATTTAACAGGTGGGCAAGAGGCTGGAGAACGAAATGATATGATTCAGTGTAATGAGGATAAGGACAGAAAGGTCAGATCTTATGAAGGACCAGGTAAGTTGAGGATAGTTCTGTAAGTTAATTATTAAAGAATTGGGTGTTATGGGGGAACTTGAAAGAGAAGAGGAAACAGCCTGATAAGTCATGAACGTTATTTTAGATGGCTCTAGAAAAGGCTAACATTATTGAAAGAACACAGAAGGAGACTTTTGAAAGAAAGCCAAAACCAGAAGACACTATATCCAGAGAGAACTGGAAAAGACACATCATAGATATATTGAAGAAGAAACTAAAGAAGAATACTTGAGACATATTTAGCTCAACTGTCATATCTAGGGTATTTCCGAACTTGAAACCTTCAAGATGTATTGGATTATAGTCCACATCATTCATAGCTGTGGAAAGTATTTTAATGGAGATTATTGCAGATGCCTGCACTTGACACTGAAGAAAAGACAGCATTGTTCTCCTTATTAATAATTAACAAGTGTACAAGGGAAATATATTTAACTGATTATTTTTCACAGTGATTTTAAAATCAAATGGGAAATTAGGCAATTTGAAAAGGTGATACCCAGCTGTTCTGCATGCATACTTCTTAGATGACGAAATATCTCAGTTCTATAGAATTTGAAGTGGGGAGTGAGGAATTGTTCTGAGCATTTTATATATTGCAGTTACAGTACCGAAATAAACAATATGATGCCAAAACTTACATATGTATGTATGCATGCATGTATGTATGTATGTATGTATGTATGTATGTATGTATATGTGTATTTCCAGTTAACCCCAAGTTCTTAGTGAAGGATACTGTTGAAAGTTTCATGAATGTGAAAGCAGGGGATGCCATCCACGTGCGTATTCCTTTTGAAGTAAGTATAGCCTTTGCAAGAAATATATCATATAATAAATCTGTTTCTGTGCTTTTTTATATGGCAGTAAATGGAGCTATGTGGAGATTTGGATATTTTTTTAAAAATATATTTTTATATGTTACTTTACAATAATCCTTGAAATGAAAGAAAAGCCAGAATACTTAGAATCATTTGGTTGTCTTATTTGGACTTATTTCTAATTAGAGTAATTTATGTCTTGAGCTGCTATGACAATGCAATAAAACTCTGTGTGAATTTTTTTTAAAACGATGTCTTCCATGTTTACTTGGAATGTCTGTGGAATATTTCTTTGCTGATATAAGTAAATGAAGAAGCTCTTGTTTGGTTTAGCCAAATTGAAGCACCTATAAGATCACTTCAATATGAATGGAAGAAAGTTAGGATCATATCTCCAATCTGTCTGTCATCAACTGCCATTATCCCACAATAAAGAAATAAACCGAGAAGCAATATAGTGCAAACTGTTATATGGAAGCTGGCTTCTTCTGATCTATACCACTGCCATGTATATATTTTAAAAGTATTTTTAAATTAATGTCTTTTTCATGTTTATTAGGCATCCTCATCTTCTGAAGTGATTTGGCTGAAAGATGGACTTTCTCTGCCAGTAAAGGCCACAACTGCCACCAGAGAAAGACTGAGCCAACTCATCATACCAGAAGCTGAGCTTTCTGACAGTGGACATTATGCTATCAGCCTTCAAACTGAGCATGGGAGAAAGGAAACATTCAGTTTTCAAGTTCAAGTTCAAGGTAAAGCTCATACAAGGAAATCTGCAATTACATGTGTTCTGCCTGTGATCACATCTTCTCACCTGGAAAACTAATCAAGTATCATAAATACTCTTTATGTGCTTCTTTCCATATGAAGTTTCAAGCTAAAATTGCCTAACTTATAGAGAGCTTCTGTCCTTTCAAATTAGATTTGAAGGGTGACCTGCAATATACTAAAGTATCACCACAAAGACTTTGAGACTGTTAGTTGTCTTATCTTTTATGATGTGATTGAGTAGCTAAATAAAACCAAGAGTATGCTAGCGTGTTATAAGCAGTAGTTTGAAGCCATTTGAAAATAGTCCATCATACAGACTATATAGCCAGAATTAGTACAGAAATATATATTTTTAATAGGAAATAAGTTTTAATTCACACTTTGCTGATTTGGCACCTTCAATATGGACTTGGATAACAGCTCTCAGAAATTCCTGTCCACACTATCCTGGCATTCTTGGATTTGTAAACAACCCATCTGAGAGATACAAAGTTAAAAAAGCTTGTCTTACTATATTCAAGAGAAGAAGTGGTAAGAGTATCTGTTGACCTTATTTTCTCCTTTAATCATAGTAGATATCATCTTTTAATACCATCTTTACAGTATATATTAATCCTATTAATAAAGATTCCCCCTGTAAATTACTTTTGCTTGAGAAGAGTAGATAAGAACCAGTTGGTCACACTCCTTTACTATGCCAGGCCACTGGCTTCATTACATGGAATATGTGTGCTGACCACATTTACATTTATAAAAGTATCTCGGGGGGATTTAAAATATTGAAAACCAAGACATAACAGCTGAACAAAACTATTTTTTTATCCGATTAACTTCATCAAGGGAAACTTTCAAGATGGGAGACTGAGGTCCATAGAGCTATTCTTCTTTCTTCCATATATTTACATTCTTTCTTTTCCATACAGTTTCTAAATCTATGATACTTAAATATAGTTTCTATATGGTTTCTAAATTTGATGATAAATAATCAAATTACTAGAAATACTTTAAAACATTTTTTTCTGATTTTGGTTTTATTTTGCAGATGTTCCAGAGTCTCCTGGTCCTATACAACTCATTGAAAAGGTTCCTGGGACAGTGACTCTGAGATGGGAGCCCTCACCCACAGAAAAGAGAGACAGTAGCATAACCTACATGGTTATGAGATGTGATTCCAGAAAAGGATCGTGGCAAATGGTGGTTGACCACATTTACACCAATAAATACACAGTTGTAAATTTTATCCCAGGTCGGGAATATTTCTTCAGAATTCTGGCAAAAAATTGTGTAGGGATCAGCAAGCCTTCTGAAACAGTGAAGCCTTGGATTATTCCAAAAGAAAAGGGTAAATATATATAATTGTTGGTAGGGAAGCTGTGCACACTTCAAAAAACAGCATCTCTATTCATGAAAGTGCATTTTTATGCGAGGCTGTTGCTTTAATGAATTAGATTGTTAAAACAGTTCATCTATAACATGATTCCAAAAATAGCATCTTTTTTCAGGCTTAGGTTTATTTGGATTCACACTATAATAAATGAAACCATGTGCAGTATGGACTGGGGTATTCCTTAGTCAAGACTAGAGTATCTCATATCTTCATAAAATTGGACAACTTTTGATCATTTGCCACATTTCCTGGAACATCAGTACAAAATGACTAGTCAGCACTTCCCAGATCAATGATCTCCGAATAGAATAGAATAGAATAGAATAGAATAGAATAGAATAGAATAGAGCTGGAAGGGACCTTAGAGGTCTTCTAGTCCAGCCCCCTGCTTAAGCAGGAGAACCTATTTTGGAACATAGAATAATACTGGAATGAACTTACATGGTTTATTGATGGAGATTTAGTACTTTTCCTATGCAAGATCAGAAATGGCAGATAATTTATTGTAATTCATATTATCAAGCCAATATTGCCAGCTTTATTTGCAAATAGAAATAACAATGAAAAATAGATATCTCCTAATTGTTAACTTAATCTTTTGTTCTTCTGGTTTTATTTTTGCACTCCTTTCAGATAAACCTGAAACGAAGCTTCCAAGATATAAGGAGATCAACCGAGGTCAACCTCCAAGATTCCTTGTCCAACTAAAACCACATGTGGTGAATTTAAGATTTAATTGTCATATGAGTTGTGCTGTGACTGGAGATCCAGCCCCTCAGGTCACTTGGTTCAAGGGTAACAAGAATCTTTCTCAGGATCCTGCCTTTTTCTGCAAAAATGATTTTGGGGTTTGCTCCCTTGTGATCCCTGGAGTCACATCATCAGATGCTGGCCAGTACAAGGTGCTGGCTGTCAATGAACTAGGCCAAGCAATCAGCAAAGCTGAACTAACTGTGAAAGGTGGAGATTAAAAGGTAGTTGAAGTTCACTTCTACATTAAATAATGCATGTAGTTTTCTCCACATTAGAGTAGCATTGGGAATGATAAATTTATTCTTACATCACTGTTTTGAAGGATTTGTCTACTTGATGTCACAAGTGTAAAAAAAACCAGCTTTTGTTTTCTTCTATCTTTTATAGTATGAAAGCTTTTGAAAAATGCACCCAGCTGTTTCAAGCAGAAAGGACAACATCCAAGTATATCAGTGACTTCTGGAAATTACTGAAAAGTCAATTACATGTGTATGAAAAAATCACCATCCACAGGGATGGGTCACAGCAAGAAAACGATTCATTCAACCAGACCTAACATAGGTACATCTAGAGTGTTGTAATTCACCCCCCTCCCCAGCTAAAAAGTGTTCTGATATTTAAATGCTTCAACTGACAGTGGTTCTGCTGAAAACTGTGATTTATGTATCAATATGGAATTTTAAATGTTTGAAAGACTAGAAGAATAGCAAAGGTTTGTAAGATATATTTCATTAGTTTCAATCATTGCGTTACTTATGCCTGTATTTCTCTGCAGAAAGATTAAAAAGCAATAAAAGACAAGAGTATAAAGGAGACCTGAATATTTTCATCAGTATTTTATTTATTTATTTTGAGCTAACAACATTAATTTTATCAAAAGAATCAAGATAAGGCTATGTTTAGGTGTTTCTAGAGATTGGGTTGCGTTCTGATTATTTCCCAAATGTCTCAATAAAATAACATCCCATCACAGGGAAGTGTTGTGCATTTTTTTTACTAAGTTATGAATTATAGTTGGCTATTTTTTAAATCTGCATTTAACTATCTTTACATATAATATCTTTAATCAGAATAACAATAATTACAGAAAGCCAAAAGCAGTTCATTCATTCATTCATTCATTCATTCAATTTCTTTGATTTATATAGCCTCCCAATTCACAATAGTGACTGCAAGTTACAAATTTTACAAATAACACAACTTTATATATAAAACATAAACAACAGATGAGGAACCAAAACAATCTAAAAAACAACTACCACACCACAAGCTTTAACTAACACTCCAACCACCATGCCTGGGAAACATCTCTGTGAGTGTGAAATAGAAGTTTAAAAGTAGTTAAAATATGTAGCGTAAGAATTCTAGGCTGTCTGACTTAACAATCTGATGACACATCTTCAGGCAATAATGCAAACTTTTGGACTTTCAAAACTGAATAAAGGTTTCCCTGCTTCTGAATCCTTGACAGTCTTCAAAACTCAACTCTGGTGATTTTAGCAGGCTTTATCACATTGAAATTGGGGGTGGGGGTGGGAAATAACATAGGACATGGTCAGACACATCATATTTAAAACCTTAATACTATATTCATTCATTTATTTCCTAACTAATGACATCATTTCAAAGAAAGGGTAAGAAGGTGATGAACTTCATTGGCTTCAGATTGTTGTTCACTTACTTGTCAACAACTGTTATTACCAACAAAGGTTGGCACGGTTTGATTTCAGTATTTTTCTTCTTGATATATTGAACTTAGTGGAGCATAATAAATTCAGTACCAAAGCAGAATCAGAATGATCTTTGGTTCTAAATAAAAATCAGCAAGACCTAGATCTGTATCATTAATTCAAACCACTGACGCACATTATGATTACCATTTGAGACTCTTTAACTAGAGATGCCAAGGGTTGCAAATGTGCTTTGCTGCTCAGTTATTGTCTCTAAGTTATTGTCTCTCTCTCGTAACTGCATAAAATAGGACTATGCAGTAGTAAACATAGAAAATAATTGCAAACTAGTGCTAATGTTCTCTGAAGAATCTTTCTGGAATCCTATCCAAGTACAACTCTATGATACAAAACTTGTGTATATGTTATTGAAGAATGTGCATTGCAGCTGTTCAGCACATCGGTTTATCCTCAAATTATTTCTTCCAGAGCAATGACATGCAGATTCTCTAGAACTGAAATTTAGAAGATTAAGGTACAGTAACAGAACCTACTGCCTCAAAATGTTACAGGTAATCAATGAAAAAAGGAAACCCCCAGAAATGGGAAAATACCCCCAATTTTACCACTAGAGGGACTCTTCCTAAACTACTGACTGCCCACAATTTCAAAAGCTGCATGGATATCTTGTGAAAAAAATGGATATAGGAGAATAATTTATTTCTTTTCTTTTGATTGTAGTTAAATAAGAAAGGAAAACCTTTTCATATGTGCATTAACAGGCAAAAACTGTAATTAATGGATATGAAAAAGTTACAGTGTACTTTAGCTTTTAAAAAAAAAACCCAGTGATATTACTTTAACTATCATAATTAAATTGAATGAATGTAGCATAGACCAACAAAAGAAAAAAAGAGAAAGAAAGAAAGAAGAAAGAAAGAAATAAAGAAAGAAAGAAAGAAAGAAAGAAAGAAAGAAAGAAAGAAAGAAAGAAAGAAAGGAGAAGAAAAAAATAAAAAAGCCCAGATTCAAATTTTGCCAAATATTTTTATCTTCACATTAATCCTTTCTTGTTTCTGAATGATGCAGATTTAATAAATATAATATGGACAAAAATGTTTAATGGTAGAAATTGTAGTTTCTAGAAACAGAGAGATTAGTTATATATGCACTTGTTCTATAGCCTTCCTTAAACTTAGTGCCCTCCAGATATATGCAGTGGTGGGATTCAGCCAGTTCGCACCAGTTCGGCAGAACCGGTAGCTAATTTTTTGTTGCCCAGGCCCAGAATGGACTTCTGGAAGCAGCATTCACACAGAGAACCGGCTATTCACTTATTTGAATCCCACCACTGGATATATGGCTTCAACTCTCAGGATTCCCAGCAAGGACCACTAGTGGTCTAGTGCCTAGTGAATCCTGAGAAGAGTCCATGATTAAGGAAGGTTCCTTCTATTGTATTAAAGTCTAGTACTGATCCTGTTTCAATATAACATAAGAACATAGTTATGCTGACAGACATTTTAGATTGCTAGTTTATTAATATCATGCTTCAGAAATAGCTGCAAATAATTTGCTTAGTGTGATACTGTTCTGTGTATCCTATCAAAATTTATTCTTTTAAGTTCATACTTGTATGAACAGTTCATACATGAATGAAATCTAGTATAGGAGTGCACATTCATCAAATGCTAACCAATATGCACTGCCGTTTTTGCTGAAAAAAACTATTTGGCAGACTACACAGAGAAGTTATGGAGTTAGAATTGCCTATAGTCTCCCAACACATGAACATTTATGGATGAAATATTTTGTCACCAGGGAGAAAATATTTTCTCTGTATTTCTTACAAATACTATTCTGCTTTTATTAAAAATAGTTTCACCTGTAACTTTTTTAACTGATGGAAATACAGTCTATCTCTCTCTTGCTCACTTTCTCTGTGTATTTTATGAATGAAAGTGCCATATAATGATTCATAACCTTCTCATATGGCCATTTCAGAATATTTGAAGTATTAACCCTCTGGGAAGGGACATACCACAACCGCTCCCATAAATGAATCATTCAGTGTATTTTCTGTTCTGAGCAAAAGATTGCTCATCCAAATAGGGAGCTGTCTACTGAGATTAGAGTTGAAAGAGGCCTGCATAGGAAATGGAAGATAGATATAACCACCAAGGAGATTTTCCAGCAAATAGCTAATATCTGCAGAAGGATAGTCAGCAGGCTGAAAGCAAAGCACAAAAGCAACTTAAGCTCACAAAGTAAAATAAAAGCAACAAAAGAAGCTTTTGGGACTCTGTAAGTAGAAAAAAAGAAAGGAGGGTGTGGGACCACTGTTTGAAGAAAATGATAGTATAATAGGTGACAGAGAGAGAACAGAGCTAATCAACTTTGGTTCAATTCTCTCCAGTTTAAGTTTCCAAGGCCAGATCAGTTGTGTCTGAAAGTCTTAAAGGAGTATGCAAATATCATCTCAAAGTCCTTTTTCATAATCATAGAGAAATCATGAAAGACAGAGGGTGGGTTGAAGAGAAAAAGAGGACTTAGCTAATTATGGATATGTTATCTTGATGTCCATACTAGCAAAATTTTGGAACCCATTAATTAGCAAGCACTTTGTGACCATTTGGGGGAAAAACTTCATTGCTTAGCACAAACCAGCATGGGTTTATCAAGAACGAGTCATGCTAAATCAACTTGATCTCCTCTTTTGATAGAATGTCCAGTTTAAGTCATCATGGGAATGCAGAGGACATATAACACCTTGGCATCAGCAAAACCTTTGACTGTGTCTCCCCTGCAACTGCAATAGAGAAGACAGCAAATTATGAACTGAACTATGTTACAGTTTAAGAAGATTTAAGATTTAAGAAAATTAAAATTAAATGTTACAGTTTAAGAAGATTTAAGATTTAAGAAAATTAACGAATTGGATGGATTAAAAAAATATGATTTTTAATACGAGTTTTAATATGACAGAACAGCAAATATCTTGAAGAACTATACCAAAAGTAAGGGGGGGGGGTTTGACAATGGGCAGAAATCAACAAGATAAATCATCAAGGACAAATGCAAGATTCTTTATTTGGGTAGGAAAAATCATAGATGTGTAAAGGAATGGGGGCAATTGTACCAGGCAGTAATCATGGGAAGAGGACCTGGACTGAGCATTAGCAACAACAACAAAAAAGCAATGACAGACTGAAACAATACAAGAATAGCGCCAAGTTCAAGAGAACTCAGTGTTCTTTTCCGTTCTGTGTTATTTAGTCCACACCTAGAATATTATGTGCTGTTGTAAGCATCATCGTTTAGAAAGGACATTGACAATCTGGAGTGTGTGCAAAGAAAAGCAATGAACATGGCAAAGTTTTAGAAGAAGAAAATTCATGAGCAATTATCGAATCTGGATAATTTTAATCCAAAAACAAAAGACTCTAAACAACTGTCATGTACAATATATGGTAGATTGTTCAGTTGTTACAGAAGGCAAGACAAAACACAATGGTTGATGTTACAAGGAAGTAGATTTCAATTGGGCATCAGATAATGATGATGATGATGATGATGATGATGATGATGATGATGATAATAATAATAATAATAATAATAATAATAATAATAATAATGGCTGTTGAATGATGAAACAATCTGCCACGGAAGAGAATGGATTCTTCTTTATTAGAGACAGTTATACGGAGACTAGTTGACCATCTCTTAGATATGGTGTAGTAATGGGTTAATGTACTCAACAAGGGGTTGAACTGGATCATTTCAAATATAATCCAACTCTCATATTCCATAATTCAAATAATGGACAATATATTTTCGTATGAGATATATAGTGCTGATTATGACCTTGAAAGCCCTGTATGGTTTGGTTTCAGGTTACCTATGAGAATGCTTTCTTCTGTAAAACTTGCAGTTTTTATGGAGCACCTTGGGACAGAGAGTTCATGGTTGCTGCATCAAATCTGTAGAATGCGTTCCCTATCTGGGTGTGCAGACTGACCACTTTGTTAGATTTTTTTCAAGGCTTTTAATTGCTGAACATTTAAAATCTTTTTTTTTAATTATTAACCCTATTTTATGACTTTTATTATTCTACATTGCCAGAGACTTGGGTAATTGGTGATACGAAGTAGTAGCCTAATAAACCTATTTTTATCTTTCAATTAAATGAGATTTCCCAGCAGTGGAAATGGAAATGTTAAATATTTTAAAGTAGAATTGGTAAGTAATTCTCTTCAAGACTCAATTAAGTATTAAGAAATTCAGGGAGTTCAGTATCAAT